GCAGTGAAGGCCGGACACAGGCCTGGCTGGCCACTCCACTCACACCAGTACACCTGGCCTTGGCCTTGGCAGTCGACTCGGAGCTGGAATTCCCCAGCGCCTTGCCCCAGGCTGCTGGTGCGCATGGTGCAGGAATCTCGCCCTCGGGTCTGGAAATGGAGTTCCTCCTGCGTGTGTCCTTGCGTTGGCCTCGGGGACTGTCCCCAAGTCCCCAGGCTGCACAAGGCCAGCAGCAGGAGGCAGAGGATGGACTTCATGGTGAGGAGGCTCCAACAAACCCGCCTGCAGCTGGAGAGCCCAAGGGGGGTGAGCCGCCCTTTAAAGGGTGCTGCACAAAGGGCCCTCTGTGGGGCTGGGCAGGGTGCCCTGCAGAGAAAGGAAAACAGGACACAGACCTCAGACCTGTCGCATTTGACGTGGGTGGAGCAGCCACCAGGAGCCACCCACCATAGCACAGGCAAAGGGACCAGCTCTGCCAAGCACGTCACGGGGCCCTGCCACAACAGTGCCTGTGTGACACACAGAGCACCACCCTCAGGCCTGGGGTGGGGGTCGGGGGGCTTATGTGTTTCCACACTTAGGGACCTTGCTCTATACTTGGCCCTTGTACAGGAATAGCCTTCTTTGTCATCATGGGGGATGTGCCACCGGGTGGCAGTGGAGTTCTACAGACAGGTGTGTGGCTTGGAGCCTGGGGCTGCTGCCTTCTTCCCCTTGGGGGCCCTCATTGGGCGAACATTAGTTTTGTGCATCCAAAGAATGCAAGAGTCTTGGGAGCTTAAGCCTTGTGAGATGGACTAACAAACACGAACGAGACTGAGACTGACAAAGCCAACAGCTCTGTGTGTGTGTGTGTGTGTATACACAAGGGACACAAACAGCCTCATAGCCACGGGGCTAGCGGGTCACCTGGCCTGCCTCTGGGGCACGCCCTGCCACCTCTGTGGTCACAGCGCCCACCACCCACTGAATGATGGTCATGAAAGCCAAGGCTATGTTGACACTGGTATTTAAAGTCTACTTCAGACCACACATTCCATTTTCAGTTCAATTGAGAAACCATTGCATTTTAATTTATTGCAGGGAAAAATGGTTTTAAATATTACCATTATATGAATAAAAAGCACAGGAAGTTAAAAATAACTCAGTTCTATCTCAAGAATCACACGTTGGTACAGCCGTAGCCGTCTTTCTGTGACCCCTGTGAGGGCACAGGAGAGCAGACCTCAAGGTGACCGCTTAATGCGGGGCAGGGTTAGGTTAGGGGTGGGCCGGCACCGAGCACCCAGGCTGAATAAGAGAAACTGAGTCTTGGCCTGAACCCTGAGAAGAGACAGTGGGGCTCAGCCAAGTCCAGGTGTGTGGTGCGATGGGTCTCCCAGAAGAGGGCGCCACCCCAGCCTAATTGGGAAAGGGGGCAGATGCAGGGAAGAAGTCAGTCACTCGGGAGGCGGGGGAAGGTAACGTTTCCTAGGCAGCGAGAACACTGGCTGCAGAGCAAGGTGTTTGGCTCAGCAGTTAAGACGTGGCTTGGGATGCCCACTTCAGATCCGGCATCGTGCTAACGCACACCTGGGAGCAACAGGTGATGATGGCTCAGGTACCTGAGTTCCTGCCACCCGTGTGGGAGACCTGGGTGGAGTTCCTGGCTCCTGGCCTCAGCCTGGCCCAATCCTGGCTGTTGTGGGCATCTGGGGAGTGAACCAGTGAATGAGAGCTTTCTCTCTCGCTCTCCCCCACCCTCCACTCCATTGCTCTGCCCTCCAAATAAATGTTTTGAAAAATTATTTTTAAAAAAAGGAGGGAGAAGGAGTGTGTTCCTGGAGTATGGGCTTGTGGGTGGCAAGATGTCAAGGGGCAAAGAGGCAGTGGCTAGAGACGGGCTGGAGAGGTGACCGCAGGTGAGGCTCCGCTGTCTCTGCACCCACACACATGGCCCCAGGGCTCAGCCTTAGTGTGCTCCAGGGCCCAGGAGCCTGGCTCCCCCTTGTGGCCAGAGGCGAGCAGGGGGTGGTCAGCTCAGATCCCTTTCTCCACGCACAGCTGTCTTGGGCAGGAAGCCACCTGCCTGGCCATCCTCAGCTGCCCTAAGGAGCTGACCAGTCTTTTCTGAGACCCTAGGCAGCTTGATTCTACCCTGCATTGGAAACACACCAAAAGGGAGCTCTAATGTTCTTTTCCTTTCTGCTTTTTGCAAGCCTCGAGGCCTTTGCTCCGTTGCATCCACTGCCTGGAACCCTGGCGTCTCTCATTGCTGCAGGCTGGCTCCTTCCTGCCTCTTCTCTGTCTATGTGATGTGAAGGAGCTCTTCCATTATTCTGCCACGTCGACCTGCTTTAATGCTCTTAAAAGCTGTGGCTTTTGCTCGTCTTTGCTCATCCATCTTCAGGTGGGGAGTGATACGATCCGACTTGCACTTTAAGGACTTACCTGACTGCCAGGCTGGAAAAGGACAGGGGATGCCGCAAGGCTGTGCACATGGACTTGAGCGGGCAAGCAGGTGAGTCACTGACTTGTATATGCTTGAGCTGCAGTGGCAAAGACCCTCTCTCCTGAGATGGTTGCCATGGTTTCAATGTGTGCCCCAAAGTTCATGTGCAAGACACATAATCCCTAGTGTAACAGCGCTGGGAGGCAGTTAGGGCTCTGCCCCCATGAGAGAGTCAGTGTTACTGCAGGAGTGGTTTAAATATCTTGGGAGTGTGATTGTGACAGCAGTGAACAACCTCTTCTTCACTCTCTTCCCAGCACTCCCCTCCCCACCAAAAAACCTTTTATTTAAGGAATACAAACTTCATGCATTTCATAAGTACAACTTTAGGAACATAGTGACTCTTCCCACCATACCCGTCCTCCCATTCCTCTTCCTCCTCCCTCTCCCATTCCCAGTCCCATTCTCCACTAAGATCCATTTTCAATTAACTTTATACACAGAAGACCAACTCTATACTAAGTAGAGTTCAACGATCTGCACACACACAAAAAAACTGTTCCTCAACAGTTGAGACAAGGGCTGTTCAAAGTCATTGCATCTCAAAGTTAATTTTACTTGTTTTTTTAGAAAATTAACTTTAAAACACCTAATAATGATCCATTTCTTGTGAGTGCTTAGACATAACTGTAACTTATGAGACATAAGAATATCCTCTACTTAATCCACTAAAATAAAATAAATCTTTGAAAACAAGTTTTACTGTTAACTCTCAGAATCCAATTCTTTGAGGACAGAGGTCCTGCCTGGGAAGTTAGTGTACAGAGACTCCCTGTTAACAATTAACACTCTTATGTATGACATCAGTGACCACCCGAGGCTCTTGACAGGAGCTGCCTAGGCTATGGGCGCCTTTTGTCTTCTGAGAACTCTTACCCCGCTGTTTCCCACCATGGGACAACACAGCAGAAGACTCTCACCAGATGCAGGTCCCGCAGCGTTGGACTGCCCAGCCTCATTAGTGTAAGCATGAACCTCTATTTTAGTTAAACTCCCCAATCTCGGGTTTTCTGCTACAGCGATGCAGAGTGGACTAAGACACCAGTCTCCCAAGGTTCACACTACGTAGTTCTTCCTACTTCACACACAGCTTCCAAGAGTGGTCTTCTTGAGCCATTTCCAGGAGAGTCCAGGATGAGATATCTCACCCACAGGCCCCTGGCTTAGGTCGAGTTACAGAGCCACAGTGAGCTAGCTGCAAGGGAGGCTGGGACATGTAATGCCTACCCAGGCGGTTTATGCCCGGCCAGGATGCAAGGAGCTGAAACCTAAAAGGGACACATGGGGAGAATGGCCGATAAAAAGTAGACACTGGGGAGCCAGAAAGGAGGTAGCAGCAGTGGGGCTGGAGAGGAGAGCCTGGGACCAAGGGCGAGAGGGAGGGAGAGAAGCAGCAGACCTGGATGACTCCCCTGGCTCAAGTGCCACAGTGAAGGTGGAGCAATTCCAGGTGGCACTGGCCATGAGAATGTGCATGTGTGTGTGTGTGTGTGTGCACCTGCACGCATGTGCAGAAAGGGTAGGAGCTTCAGGCAGGGAGCAGTGAGCTGTGACCCACAGGGCTTGTTTTTGTCAAGTTTTCCTTGAACACATCCATTCCCATTCTCTCCCAGGCTGTCTGTGGCTGCTAGGACAGTCAAAGGAGCTCACCACAGACAGTATAGTCTGGCGACCTCTGGGTCAGGACACACAATGGGGAGGAGGCTTGCAGTGGGCACAGGGGTCGCTGTGATTGGAGAGAGAAGTAAGGAGGACCGAGAAAGGCAGGGGAAGCCAGGCTCACCCAGGAGAAAGCAAGGGATGAAGCAAGAGAGAACCTGCAGGTGCCAACCACATGTCCAGGCAGGAGGGATGAGGGGTGTAGTGAGGAGAGTGGGGCCAGCCAGGCCCAGTAAGATCCAGGGGCATGGGGATCCTGGAAAGAGGCAGGGGTCAGCACAGAAGCAACACTGGTGACCCTGCCGGGGGCCCTTCGAAGGAGTGGTGGGGATGGGAGCCAGATGGCAGCGGTTCAAGAGCCAGTGCACGTGAGGGAGCGGGGGTAGGGTTAGGGCCCAGAGACGCTCCTCGCATGGGAACTGGGGGAGGAGTCTCGCTACCACGCGGCGGTGTTCCGTGGGGAACACTTCAGGAGCGTGAGGCCACTTAAGACCATTTCCCGTCGCCCGTGTGTTTGGCAGTGACAGGTAATGAAAACAGGTAGACACAGTGGCAGGAGTTAAATGACGGAATATAAAGTTCCACCTTGAGGGCGGGGAGAACGCCGTGTGGCTCCTGGAACCTGACTGTTCCCGAGGAAACACGCTTCAGATCGGAGATATCGCGGTCTTCACAAGAGCCGGCTGTGAGTGGGGCAGACGGATGTTGATATGCACCTTGCGTTGCTTCCGTCTTATGGACATTTTAATAATGCGAAAGCTGTAGAATAAACGGATAACCTGAGCCCAAACCTCATCATCTACCATGTGATGGTCTGTCTCTGGATCTACTCAAGGAAGCACTGCACAGATCAAATTTGACAAGTTCCTCTTTATTGAAATGGATCAGGATGGTGGCCTGCGCACGCAAATGCCTGGGAAAATGCCTACTTTAAAACAGAGGCTGAATTTAATCTGCCCAGTTTTTTTACTGCTGACCCCAGGTAAAAACCTCAAAGGAAATGGATATTTACTTTGTGCTTTTAAAGACCAAGCTCAAATGACTCACTCACATTGAGTACCAAACCTAAGAATCCCAACAGGACCTTCTTATACTTGCCTTTAGCATCCAGATGTCATTTATGTTAGCTGCACTCCATCAACGTTTATCCCAATAGATCAGAAAGTTCCATGAAAGTGTACCCCGTAATTGGCATCTGTCTAAATCACTCCACTTTCTGAATAGCATCTCTTTCTCAAGATCTCTCTCTCTCTCTCTCATTTCCTGGACAGAATAACCACCTTGCTCTGGGACTGCTCTTGTAGCCTGTTTCCAAAGAGAACTTGACACATCATGGGCAAAGTAGATGCACATCCCCAAGAGGAAGCTGACACTGTGGGTTCTGAGCATGCGCAGCCAAAATGGAGTCTTTTCCGCAGCACCCGTAAGTCAGCACTGACCCGACAGGGAGTTCATTGAGAAGAGAAATCCTACAATACTCACTGGTGTAAAAATACTCTGATTGTGGTAACACAGGTCTATACACAATTTATTAGACACAAAATGCATCTTTCCTGTAAGCCAGATGGTGTTCTGTTGGAAACCCAGCCCCCACAGCTCAGCAGCTGCTGACGCCGAAACGCATGAACAAGATCCCACACCCTGTGTGTTGTAGTGTCTCAACAGGAACCCGGTGTGAAAAAGTAAAAGTACACAGGCGAGGGGAGGGTCACGCCTGAACAGGGATGGAGACAAGGCTGTAGGTGTGATTATGTTCATTCCCAACAGAGCACAGCCCCGAGACCAAGGACACGCTTCCTGGTGCCCGTGCGTCGCTGCATTGCCGTCAGAGCGCCTCCAGGACTGGGGAGATCCGTGCAGCCCCAGAAACTACAGAAGTCTGCGATGCTCGCCACTTAGAGTGTCTTGATGCTGAAATGGAGGCCAAACAACATTTTAGAAGCCAGCGTTGAACTTTTTAAACATTTTTTTAAAGATTTATTTCACTAATTTGGCAGGCACAGTGACAGAGGGAGAGACAGAGATCTTCTATCTGCTGGTTTATGTCCCAAACAGCTGCAGCTAAAGCCAGGAAACTGGAACTCCAGCTGGGTCTCCCATGCAGGTGGCAGGGCGCCCAAGTGTTGGATCAGCTACTGCTGCTTTCCCAGGCACATTAGCAGGAAGCCAGACCGGAAGCAGAGCAGCCAGGACTCTAATCAGCGCTCCAGTCTGGGATGCCAGCGTCACAAGTGGCAGCTCCACCTGCTGTGCCATGATGCAGATCCCAGATTATGAAGTCAGAATGGCTTTGGGTTATTACAGAGTAAACCAGGAGTGCAAAATCTGAACGTGGTCCCCAACAGGAACCAAGAACCATAGGGAAGAAAAAATTTATTCAAGAGGCCATTTTCCTGGTCTACTCTTTTTGTGTCATTTCATTATTATTTTAGTCTCTGAAATAGCTTTAAAAAATCACCACAAAAATAAATTGTGAAACTTTTTTTAAAACACAGAAATATATTTTTGAAAACTGAAGACTATAACATTCAAGTTACATGGCTGATATATAGATACCTACATCTGATTTTTTACTGTAAGTAAAAATAAATGCACACACACACATACTTATTGGAGTACTTCAAAAAGTTCATGGAAAATGAAATTAAAAGATATATTTATTATGGTACAGAAATTTTGCAATCCATGCATAATTTCTTCATAATACACATTTTTCATGTACTTTTTGTAGATCCCCTTGTATGCAAGAATTTCAAAAAATGCAGCAAAATAAAATTATATTTTAATTCTACTTTCCACAAACTTTTGGTAGTACCTTCTTTGAGTCATTGGGCATACAAAAGTCATTGTATTTTTATTGTATCATCCTGTAAACCTACACACTGACCAAAATTCCACTTAGTATTTAGGATTAGCTATATTTTCACATTCTTTAACAACTAAAGACTATAATTCTATGAATTCTCTTATATGTAAGCATCAGACTTACCTCAAGCAATTTCAACACCAGCTGTCAATAACGTAAGGGTCTAGAAAACAGAAAACACAAACTGTAACTCTCCCGGCATAGCTGTGTGCTCAGAGGCAGGCATGCGGCTCAAGGGAGCAGATGAGCAGGGACCCACACCTCAGAGAGCTGAGCAGGGGAGAGTTTGCAGGTAAAAGTTCTGGTAGGCTGTTCTATCTCCTGTTTGTATTGCTTCTAATGAGAAGAGGAAAGAGAGAGAGAGAGAGAGAGAGAGAGAGAGAGAGAGAGAGAGACTTTGACGAGGGGAACTGTGACTATTCAGTCCAAGGCTCAGGGGGGTAGGGGTCACTGGAGACAAGTGTTGAAGACGTTGGACTCCCAGAAACCAGGCCATGGCTGTACCTGTCTACTGCACCTGTCTACTGTCCACCTCCAGGGCCGGGAGACAGAGCACAGGTGAGCCACAGACGGGAGGCCACACAGTGCACCTGTCCTCTGAGCAGCCCTACAGTGGTCTGAAGTTATCCCATGATCACGGCCTTGGCAAGCGCAAGAGGTGTATGAGCAAGGGGAAGGAGTGACCCCCACCGGGAAGCCCTGAAGGACGCACGGTGCCCGGCCTGCGGTGCTGAGACACAGGACATGGCGAGGAGGTGCGCTGAGGACATCAAAGCACCTGCAGGGCAGGACGGTTCTTCCAATGCAGCGATTTTGCTTCAGGACCCCCGTAACACTCTGTTCTCAGTAAAGACACGTGTGCTGTACAGCAGGGGCTCTGTCCGCAGCACGGGGCCCGGGGCTGCTCACTGGCAGGGACCGCATCTCTAAGGAGCACCTGCTTTGCCTGCCTGAGCACAGGATGCTGGGCACGCCAGCTGCACCCCAGGCTCTGCTCCAGTCCCACCATACCACTCCTGGAGGGACCTCCAGACCGGATGTTCCGCCCCTTCCCAGTACAAAGAGTGCTCTGGAGACCTGGAAATGGGCAAAACGAACCAATCCAAGCAACTAAGCTGATCCTGGAAGCTACTGGCAGGAAGGCAATGATGGCTTCCTAGCTGGGACCGTCGCCACAGGACACGTTTCTTTAGGCCATTAGGATGTGGGCTCTGAACTCTGCAACTTCCTGCCTACCCAACATGCCCAAACAATGAGATAAAAGAGGCTGATGCCCGACAGCCAGGTCACCCTCCTCTCCAGGGCAGACATCACTCCCGAGGGCAACACTCGTAGAGGAAGTTTGGATTCAGCCTCCAGAACTCCATCAACACGGGGCTCTGGGCAGCCTGACCCACAGCCGGGAGGCAGAACTGGTTGGCTACAGATGCACTCTTGCCTTTGGGAGGAATGGTCCTGCCCCGTAAGACCTGGAACAACACTCAGCAGAGAGGCCTCCCAGTACCTTCTGCGAGACCACGCGTGCTGGGGCGTGTGGACCAAGCAGCGGCTGCTCTCTTCTTCCTTGGTGATTCCCTGGTTCCCCTCCCCTCCTTCCAGCTGCAGAGAGCCAGCTAAGTGCAGCCTCCCAGGCCAAACAAAGCATCCACAGGACCCTGCGAGAGAGCACCCTCTCCAGCAGAGGGAACAAGGTTTGCAGAGGCACAGACCTTGTTGGAACCATCGTATCACTTCTCAGCGTCATTAACTCTAAAAAGGGACATTTCTGGGGGCCAGCATAGTGGCGTCCCAGATCAGAGTGCTGGTTCGAGTCCCAGGTGCTCCACTTCTGATCCAACTCCAGGCTAATGTGCCTGGGAAGGCAGTGGATGATGGCTCTCTCGTGCTTGGGCCCCTGCCACACCAACACTGGGATGGAGTTCCTGGCTCCTGGCTTCAGGCTGGCCCAGCCCTGGCTGTTGTAGCCACTGCGGGGGGAGATAACCAGCAGATGGGAGCGATCTCTCTCACACATCAGTCAAATCAATCAATCAATCGTTTAAAAAAAGGAAAATCCTCGTATTAAAATCGGATCTCCCCATGCCAGAGAAACTAGACTTTCTGGCAACGCTCTCCTCACGTGTTCCCCTCTCCGTCAGCTGGAGGGTGTTCAGAGAAGAGTGTGGAAGACTGCTGGATTCCTCTATGGTTCTCTCCACTTCTTTTCCATGCCTGCCGCCTTTGGGGGACCCAGAGGAGGGTGAGTGTGAACCTCAGCTCAGCCCCCCGCTGGCTGTGGAAGCCTGGGAATGCCTCCCCTCCCCCAGCTGTCCTCTAAGAGGGAGGCAGTGTCCTGTAGGGGGGCTGACGCGGGGACTCTGGGGACCATGAGGGCTGCCACTCACACTGTGCTCTGCTCCCTCAGGACTCCGTGGCTGTGCCTGAAGCAACTCTGGGTCATGATGGCTGAGGCCAGCGCTACAGAGTCGGTGCCTCTCCACAAAAAATACATAGAAATCCCTAGAGGAAGCACACGACCCTGTGATCCACGAACAGGAGGCCAGCGAGGACCATTTCACGCCCCCCGGGTGGGGGAGCCTCCGCTCGCTCTGCGCACTTCAAGCTGGAGTCTCAGCCAGGCCTCTGCGACACCCTCGCGCCTCTTCCTTCAGACCACAGCGACCGGCCAGCCACAGGCGCTGCGATGGCCTGTAGCGAGGTTTCCAGGGTTGGCGCGTGTGGGAGCGTGTGTGCACACGTGAGTCCGGACTTGAACGGAGAACGGCCAAACCAAACTCACTTCCCACCCAGAAGTAGCTCCCTTCCTGCTTCCCAAACAACAGAATATTTCCAGGGAACTCCTCAGCAGGGGATCTTGGCTGTCCCCGCTGCTCCAGCCAGTCCTGACTGGCAGAAGGCTCTTTGTGCACTGGTGGCTTAGCTCCCAAACCGGCTTCTGTCCTGAGACACAGCAGCACCAAGAGCTACCGCCGTTAGCACCACGGGAGGCCGCAGCAAGGGCCTGGGAAGAAGGTGAGCGCTGTGGCCGGTGTGCACAGGGGCCTGCCCCGGGCCTTCCCGACCCCTGCAGCCCAGTGGGCCTCGTGAATGGAAGCTGAGGGGGACAGGCCAGGCTGCCAGACCACACGCTGCACTAGCTTCTGAACTGCCCCCAGGGCCCATCAGAAAGTACTAAGGAAATGGAATTAATCCTTATTTTCACGAGCCACAAAGCCGTAAGTAAGGGCTTACACTGGTCAAAGGGTATTGCACCCTCACTACCCATTTAAGTCTCGTGAACATGTGCAAACAGGCCCTCGCTATCCCCCTGTACAAGCGGGGAACCTGAGGCTCCAGGAAATGCGATCAAGTTTCCAGAACGAGGATCTACTCCGGCCTGGTCCTATGGGAGGGTCCCAGTAGAGCAGATGTGATTTCCAGTTGGCCTCAAAACTTCCTTAGTTTCTTCAATTACTGTGCCTTAAAAAGCCGAGTATCTAGAAGATCTACCAGGGTTCCTACTGGAAGACGGAGTATTCAGAAAGGAAAACAAGTCCTGACTTAACGGGTACTGTGAACACTTTTCAGGAAAACTTTGATATTTTTATCCAATTGAGACAAACCAGTTCGGTTTGCCCTCTGGACTCTACTGTTGGTTATAAAACCCAGGCAGCAGAAGGCATTCACATGTACTGTGGGCCACCGATGAAGGGCTTTCAACTTTAAGTCCTCCTGGCTCCACCCCACACAAGCACAGGAAGCCCTTCCCGAGGACAGAATTTCCACCCACTCACAAAGCAGAATTATCACCAAATCACCCTAAAACCTTATTGTATAATACGGCTGGGGTGCTTCATCCACCCTGGATTTTCACAAGAACCACACGGGAGCCAATGTCCGTGAGCAAGCGGGAAGGGTGGCGTTCGCTTTGCAACACCACAGCTGTCCCTGTTTCTCTCACTGTCTTTCCCCTTTCCCTGAGCAACAGATTAAATCCAAGAGTTACCAAGTCCTGCACTGTCCCCGCTTCTGAGGGTCAAGATGGATAAATAAGGAGAAGCACCCTACGCTTTTGAGAATTCCGCTCTAGGGGTCGTGCACCTGCGGCGCTGAAGGCGGTCTTGCCTGTTTACAGATGCTAAAATGCTAGAAGCAGTAGTCCGCCATCCTCAGTAGCAACGGGCTCGGCCGGGGCATGGCCGACCCTGCTCTGCTGTCAGCACTCAACTCCAAGGCTGAGAATGTAGGGACCCCCTAGCTGGCTGTGATGCCGGCTCATTCCTAAATGACAAAGGGTCCACGCAGTCTCCGTGTGCTGTGAGGTTGCTGGCACCTCAGAGACGGCCACATCGACTTGCAAAGTGACCCCTCCCTTGCAACGCCAGATGGATTTATTGGAAGCAGCACACTCTTTTGGCCCACCAGCCTTCTCCACAGGAGAGTTGTACTTTCCAGAGTCCCCTGCTAGCAAGAAGGGGAGCCAGCTGTGGGGACTGCGGTCAACAGAGAGTCCCCTGGCCCTGACAACCTTCAGGGTGTGGCTCTGTCCAGGGATTCTGGCACTATGGGAGGTAGCCGTACAAAGGCTGTGTAGCCAAGGAGGGCAACTCTTGAACAGGCGATACTTGCTGCCGAACTGCCCACCAGATGGCCAAGGCTTTTGGCAAGCCCACCTTGACTTTTCTCCCACCGTTCACAACCATGGGTACCTGTAAGCAGCTTGCATGTCACATTCTGTCTCAGCACTGCTTCCAGAAAACCCAGCCTTGCCCACCCAGGCTTGCCTCTCTCTCCGGCGTCCTTGGGCAGCCTCAGTGCACTTCTTAATACAGGGAGGACATCTGGAGATTTCACAACCAGGAAGGAAGCACCAGGAACCAATGCTACAAATTCAGAAAGTACTGGGCAGGGGAGGGCTTGGTGTTGTGGCACAGTGGGTTAAGCCACCACCTCCAATGCCGGCATCCCATATGGGTGCTAGATAAAGTCTCAGCTGCTCCACTTCTGATCCAGCGCCCTGCTAATATGCCTGGGAAAGCAGCAGAAGATGGCCCAAATGCTGGGGTCCCTGCACCCACATAAGAGACCTGATGGAGTTCCAGGCTCCCGGGCCTTGGCCTGGCCCAGCCCTAGCCATTGTAACCATTTGGGGAGTGAACCACTGGATGGAAGACCTCTCTCTCTCTCTCTCTCTCTCTCTTTCTCAAATAAGTAAATCTTTAAAAATAAAAAGAAGCAAAGAAAGTTCTGGAAGACCTGATGTTAAGACAACATAGGTGGCTGAGAACAGGTCTCCTCTGACCTTGAAATTTTCAATCTATAAATAACAAGACACCATCTGAGCATGCCATTCTGCGAAAAGAAGGCCAGGATTTGACACAGGCAACGATGCTGTCCACTCTGCTCAGAGAAGGCCTGGCTAAGTGACACTTGCCCAGAATCAGTGTTCACATCCCTCACACCGGGGCGCTAGCATCCAGGTCTAGCACATTGGAGGTGGCAAACAACAAGTCAATCTGGCATTTCAGAACTTTGTTTTTCCTGGATTTTATTATTCTTACGTCTGCCAAGGACTGAATAGTCGTCTCCCCGCCCCCAAATTAGATACCGAAATCCTAGTCACGAAGGTCGGGTATTAGGAGGTAGGAATGTTGGGAAGGGATTTGGTCATGGGGGCCATCTCTCCTGAGTGGGATTACTGTGTACAAAAGAGGGCCAGAGAGCCAGCTTGCCCCTCCTGCCACATGAGAACACAGTGAGAAGGAAGCCGGCCCCCACCTGACACAGAATCTGAGGGCCCCTTGCTCGTAGGCCTCCCAATCTCCAGAACCGTGCGAGAAGAATTCCTGCTCTTTATAGACTACACAGTTTGCAGCACATTGTCACAGCTGCCCAAACACAGTAGGACAACGCCCCACCCACTAAGTGGTAAGTGAAAGTGAAAAATTCCGAAACTCCATAATGCTGAAAGTTGTAAGTCAGGTGAGCCTATATCCTTCGGAAAGGACACATTTTAATAAATTTCTGAGCATTTTTAGAAACCTGATGAGGGTGGCGCATCAGCTGTTAGCAGGCAATACTGCTTAGGACAAGGATGCCCCTGACTGGTCACTTGCACCTGGACCAGAAGGCCCATGACACAAACACCTGCTGGCAGCGCTGGGGCCTGCCCCTGCCTTTCCTGTGGATGTGGCCCATGTGGAGAGAGGCTTCTTGGACACCGTGGCTCACCCTATGCATCCACGCCAGACTCACTGCTTTGCACCTGACATCACGTGGGGACCCACAGACCACTGACGCAGGGCCTACTGTATGGACATGAGGAAGGACCATGCCCACTGAAGAGGACGGCCCCAGGTGCATACTGGTCCCACCTCTTCTGAGTGACAGATTCCTGCTTGTGTATGTGTGTGTGTGTGTGTGTGTGGAGTTTAAGTGAGCCTGGGAAGAGAGGACCCCTGGCAGGGAATGCTCAGTGCTCACTGATAAATACCCAGAACCAAGAGAAACTCCTTAATCTAGAGACTGTAAATTCATAAATATTTTGGAGTCAGGGTTGGGCTCTTTTTCTAACTGATTACATTTGATTTAGTAGAAGAAAGATGGAGAGAGAGAAGGAGGAAAAGGTCTGTGTTTATTTGATGCTGAGATGGTAACAGGAAGTGTGCATGCATTCAACCCGCAGTGGGATCTAGGGTCCCACGCAGCATTTTAGGGTGACACGATCCCACTGTTGAATAATCTGGTGAACATTTCCCCATGGGGCACCAGGGAATGCTGTGTGGGCGTGACTATGGAGGGCACGAGAAAAGTGAGGGTTATATATCGAGAGCGTGCAGAAGGCTCACTGCCGCAGCTACAGCAGGTCTACCACGGGCAGGCACGCACCTGCTAGACTGTTTACCTGGTCAGCACAGGGTTGTGGACACCATGGAAGTGGTCTTTATGATAACCATTATTACCATGTTCCATACTGTAACAAAAATACATACAGCGAATACACAATGTTATCTCTAAGGTGAAGACGCACTGACATCGTGGGTCACAAAGACAAGAGAATGACCATGAAAGGCGGGGGTTGGGGGGTCATGTGTTAACTCCACAGGAGGCAGAAGGGCACACATACAGTCTGCTCCCTTGTAAAACCAAAGACTGAAACAACTACGTTACAGGGCAGCGAACATGGCACACGGAATGCCCGCTAGTTCACAAGGGCTTCCTGTGTCTTCTACGTGCCAGCCCCCTTTAAAAAGGCACCGCAATTGATTTCCTGCATGCATCTGCTGTTTTTATCTTATTTAAGATATGACTGATTTTTAAAGTCCATCATGTAATAATAAAAACTTCCCCTGTTCCACCTATGAATATAGTTAAAATTTAAAAAAGCTTACTTTTTCAGGGGTACAGTTTCAACACTATAAAATACAAAAAAGGGAGATACAATTATTATTTTTTGACTATTGAAGCCCAACAGTTCCACCTTCTACATTTTTCCACAAATTCAGACACTGACAGTGTGGATTCCAGAGAAACAGGTGTTGAGATGGGTGAAATGAAAAGCCAAGCACGACACACTGGCCTGACATACAGTGTGGGCAGGCTACAGAGGGGCCGTGACAACAGTTATCATAAAGTGAAATGCCAGGTTCCCGAGGGAGCGGAACTGCGAACGAGAAAGAAGGGGGCAGGTTAGGCGAGCGAGAAGACCGAGCAGGAGAAAAACCCCAGATCGAACAAGCCCGAGGAAAGTGGCACCAAAGAGAGAGGCCAAGACAGCTGAGCAGAAACAGGCCACTCTTAAAAATACAGAAGGTCAAGTTTAGCAGAGCTCACCCTGGCAGGCCTTCAAACCTGCACTGCAGAGAAAATGACCCCCAGTTGCCACGGTCAATTTAATGTTTTCACCACCAAAAGTAAAAAAAAAAATAGTCAGGGGATGGGTCTGTTAATTAGTTGGATTTAATAGCTATATAAGGTATACACAGCTCAAAATATCACCCTGTGCCCCATAAACAGACACAATTGGGAGTCGCCATTTAATATTAAATGAAAAATGAAAGAAGAAGACCCACAGCCTGTACATACTTACTCATCGTCATACACGTCCTCTGACTCCATCCGACGATAGTACTTGGCCAGCTTTATACCAAGAATTAGAGCCGGAAGTAAAAGCAAAGTAGCTTTTCCTATGCCAAACCAAAACAAATTCTAGGGAGAAAAAAAGAAAAATTAAATGCTTAAAATATAGGAATTGGAAAACAATAGTTGTTTGCAGAAAAATAATTGTGATTTTGTGCCGAGTTTTCATTTTGCTCATTAATACCATTTGTGAACCTATCATGAACCGGCCACTGTGTGAATTAGTGCCCGATTTTGTAGTTCATTCTTTCTAAAACTCTGCGCAGATCCTATCGTCTTTGGTGGAGGCTGGATCTGAGTCTAGGACCCTCCCAACCAGCTTCTAAGCAGCCCCATTGGGCGGCCTGCCTTTGTCATCCCAAGTGTCCCACAGTCAGAGCAGGGTTGGCCAGCAGGTCCAAGCTGAGTTCTCTTTCAGGAGCTCTTTGATGGTAAGATGATGGATCTGCCTCAGGCAGAAGCAAGGCCTGGTATGTACTAAGATCTAAACAAACGCCTCATGTGAATTCAACCAATGTTGAAGGGCCACCTCGGGCCGAATTCAGCCACTTTCCACCAAAAAAAAGCAACAGTCAAGTATTCTTTTTTCCAAATGGCTGCTAACATTTGTAAGTCAGCCCGTGCATGGAAACCTGGACTTAACACAATTTCTTTAAAAACTAGACGTTCCATCTCGTGGCACTGAACCCTTGGTTCCAAGACAAAGACCAGTAGCAGCTGACCAAGCCCTTCCTGAAACAGGGGCCGTTGTCCTCAGTGTGGCACAACCCACACCACTGGTGACACTGAAGATGAGGTAGGCTTGGGGGCTTAGGAAGCAATCAGAACAGAGGCAGTGCGCCTAGCTCGTATGACCCGGTGGGCACTGAACACAGCCGGACACCACTCTGGCCAGCAGCATCCCCTTGGCCTGCCTTGGAAACCTGCAGCCTGCCAGGTTCCTATGGAAGCCCCGGTCTGAGGCCGCTGCCTTAGTGTAGCACTATAAACACCACCATAGCCACTGTTCCCTGCCAGCAGGAGACTGAGTGGGCTGGGACCAACAGCAGCCGTGCAGGCCCTCCCGCCTTGCTCTGGGCTGAGGCCAGTGCTGCACGGCAGTACCTCTTGGTCTTCAAAAGATGAAGTGCTTACCAGAGGGTCGGTGAGGTAGGTACAAAAAATGACTTGGACAGTGGAGTCTAGGGCCGTGGCCACGGGTTTGCAGGATGCCAGTTTCTCAGTGATCTACAGGGTAAGAAACACAGGCAAATTCCAGCTGACCCCTGACCCACACCCGCAACACCCCATGAGAATTAGATGTGCATTTTCCTTTGGCCTGGTTCTAGCAAAAGTATCTCCATGAATGTTCTCTACAATGTGGAGCTGACGGTGGATTTGCCTGGGTGAGATCCACAGCATATAAAATCACACACAGTTATGCGTGCTGAGAAAGGCAACATGGGGTGATGTCATCCCCTCATGACATCACAGGGTACACGTCCCAGACCTGGATGGCACAGCCAGCCGCACACCTAGGCTCCATGGTATTGTCTATTGCTGCTGTGTTGCAGGGCAAACCTGCACGGCACATTGCTGTGGTGATTTCCGCAGGCCGTGTTAGCACAATGGTAAGTGTCTGTGGATCCACACATATCGCCATGTAGCAAAGGCAGAGGGGAAATACAATGTTAGAGCTTTTACGGCTTCATTACAAGTTTATGGGACCACTGTGCCATATGTGGACTATCGCTGACCAGAACGTCATTTTGCGGCTCATGACTGCACTCCAGCGCAGAATCCTCATTGCCCGCGCGTGTCAGGTCCCAGTCTCCCCATCTGTCATCTGGAACCATACAAGCCACACGAGTCCAGCACAGCGTTTCAGTCCTAACTTTCCACCTGACCCCTTTGTTATCCACCCAAAGGATGCAGGAAGCAAGTGGAAGACCCCATCTGATATAGGTGAGTCTTAGAAGTGACAAGGAAGACCGTGGTGGGTGGGGGATGTCCTCACACCTGGTGGTCAGGCCCCGGATGTCTTGGTCATCATCCAAGGATGTCTCCAGTGGCCTTTTGCTTACCTCCTACCAAACTATTACTCAGTTTACTTGCTCCAGATGGTGTTCTAGAAAATGAGACACCCAAGACATGGCGCCCCCTTCTGTTCATAAAAAGATCAACTACTTACAGCATACTCAACCCACTGCAGATAATACTCAAAATGTGATATTATAGTTCTCCCAAACTTCTTAGTTTCCTGCAAAGATATCAAACATTGGTAAAACCATTCAGGTGTTGACAGCATGTTTTAGCACTCTACGTGCTACATTTAATCAGGAAATGTCCCCATGCCCATGCATAGACATCAAAAACTCACTTTAATAATAATAGATGAAATATTTCTTGTGATGAAGTTCTGGGCGTCATCCAAAGAGTAAAGGGTCTTGTTCACTCCCTTTTGAAAACAAAACAAACAGCAACAGTGGGCGGTGGATGACGTGAGAAAAGGATTTAATTAGTGTGCACAGCGGTCTGAGTGGCATTGTCCCCAGGACCCCAAGAACATTCATGGTCCCCGCTGGCTTCACAGCCTTCCCGCACTCACAGCCCCATCCTGAAGCGGCAGCTCCTGCCCGGGCCACCTTGTGCTGTCTTAGAAGAACAAGAGCTCAGAGGAGGAATGGAAATACAGGTGGCCCTGGGAGCGATCCCCCGTGCACCCACAGGGCTGAGAGGCTGGGCACGTGACTTGCTCTGGACAGCGCCACATCAGCAATGGTGGCAATGCGAGGGCTCTGAGCAGTGGCTCCAAGCCCTCCTGTGTTTCCATTCATCCTCTGAGCTCCCGCGCTTCCCTGAGTGAGCACGAGGTGGCCCGGGCAGGACCATTCCTTCAGCCTGGGGAGAAGCCAAGCAGTGACCACGAACCTCTGTGGTGGAAGACATCGAGGTGGTGGACGGCTAGGCTAGGCAGCGTTACCTCCTTAAAAGTGACCCCCTCACATTTTAAAGCTTGCTTCCAACACATCAAGTCACAGGTTTCACCTACGTACCTACCAACCTGCAGAAATAAGGGCTGCAGGAAAGAATCGGTAAGCAGTTTGGTCATTTGCTGAGCCTTGTCTGTTCTTCCGTCAAGTACCTACAAATGTCAATGCCTCCGACTCTGCTGGTGTCGTCTGACAAAATCTCACAACAGCCAAAGGAAGCCAAGGCTTACCTGCAAGCTGCCGCTCGTGCGCTGCAGTGTCTTGACACTTCTGTGCAAAGTGACCTGGAGAACAAACACACACAAAGTTTGCACGCATCAGCAAGACAAGCTGCCTCGGGTCCTGGGTCCCCTTTCCCCCCACATAGCCATCAGGGACGACTTTACCTGGTAACCATGGTTTCCTTCTAGAAAAAGCAACAGACACAAGCAGCAAAGCGTGCCTCTGATGTAAAAAGCCTACAGACCACAACCAGGACACACGTTCTCAAGCTCTGATGGGCAGCGCATCACGGGCCAAGCTGTCCAAGAGACCCCTGGGGACTAAGTTTGCCCAGAGGGCAAGGCGCTAAAACAAAGGTTGCCCACAGGGATGGTCTGCCTACATGGCTTAGGTCAGAGATCGGCAAACTTCATCTGTGAAGGGTCAGGCAGTAAAGACTTGGGGCTTTGTAGGCCATGGCTGTACCAAAGACTCAACTTTCCCTCTGTAGACATAGCAGCCACAGACAGCAAAACTGGCAACATGCTAGAGTTGGCTGCTGGGCTCTGGTTTGTGGGGGGCCCTGGTTTGCCAATCCCCTGTATTATCTTCTTAAAAAAATTTTTAAAGAGTTTATTTATTTGAAAAGCATAATTACAGAGAGAGAGAGGGAGGATGAGAGAAAGATCTTCCATCTGCTGGTTCACTCCCCAGATGGCCACAATGACTGGGGCTGGAGCAGGCCAAAGCCAGGGGCCTGAATTCCACCCTGGTCTCCCACATAGATGGCAGGAGCCCACGTGATTCAGCCAAGGTTACCCTAGCTCTCCTAAAGTCAAGGAGTCCTGCCTACTTCAAGGAAAGCATTTAAGGAAAATGCAAAAACAGCTTCAAATGGTAACAAACTTGTGCTGGACACAAACAAGGACAGCAGAGAACTGTGAACACCGCACGCAGATTGAGAAAATTTAATAGGAGGACTTTGTGAATACCCTGATGAGTTAGGAAATCAGAGGAGAGAAACAAAAAAGAGAGACAGAATACAAACGAGATCCAGAAGGTTAGATGTTGCTTCTCTGAACGAGTCACTGACTCAGGAACCCAGTTTCCACACAGCTGCGACCTTGACAGAGACAAGCCACAGGCAAGAAGAATGATAATTCCTCCTACTGCTGGGGCCCTCAGAGGTCAGGTTTGCATCCTCCTGAGCCAGGTAGGAGCCAGGCAGAAATTGTCCCCTCTTTTAATTTTATTTAATTGTATGTTTAGATGAAGAGACTGAGAAGTTGTAATATTTTGGAGAGGCAGGATTTGAAACCAGGGCTGTCTGAATCTAAAACCGCTTTGACTGCATTGAGGCTGGAAGCCAGAGGTGCCGAGACAGGAAGGGACAGGAGAGAGGAGAGGGGAGGCCCAGGCACTAAGACAGCCCCAGGTGCTAATGGGTGCAGAAAGAAAAGTATCTGGGGAAGAGGCCCGGTGGCTCCTGCCTGTCCCCATGCAAATGGGATAAGAAAGGAAACAAGAGGCACACTGTGCCATTTAAGTTCTGCTGTCCTTCAAGTTCAGCTCAGTTTCCGAGGCTGAGGCCAGTGGGGTGGGTTGGAGCAGGTGTCCCTGTGCTACGTGCGGGCCAGCTAGGTGCAGGCAGCTTTGCTCGGGGCCCGGTGAAACGCCAAAGGCTGCCAGCGAGCGAGCATTACCAGTGACTGTTCCATCGGAATGACTTGCTGCTCGTGAATTGCTGTAATATTTTGTGCAGCCTCCTTCATGGAGTTTTTCAAATTTCCTGGGGGCTACAAGGAGAAGAAAACACACAGATCAACACCATCTTTCCAGATTCTGAGGGACTCTCTCTATGGTCAGGAGCCCAAGCAGCCACAGCATAAGCATGCACACCACTGTGGGTGTGCACGGGGCTGCAAATCCAAGAACGATGGGCTCTCGGCATCACCCCACACCCAAGAGCCCTTCCTGAGTGCCAGAACCCATTCTCTCTCTCCACCCCACTGCAATGTAGCCACTATCACGTTCCCATTTTACAGATGAGGGAAGTAAGGCACAGAGGGATGAAATGTGTTCCCTGCGAAGCTTCTACTGTTAGGGAGAGGCTGAGTCAGGATTCACACTCCGGTCTTCCTCTAGAGCCCGGGTTGCTCTTGACGGTGGGATGCCGCTTCTTGGAGGGGACCACAAGGCCATTTGGTCACCAGCTGGCCGGGGAGTTAATGAAGGGGGAGCTTTGGTGGCTCTGCCCTCTCTGCTGTGGACTCTTGGGTGTCAAGGTGGCTGAACTGAGCGATGAGCGATGCTTAGATGGCCGGGTGTGTCTGTGCTGGTGTTTCCAGAAAAGCTTGGCCTCCACGTGGGAGGCCCCGTGCAACCACTGGGAGGCTGCGTGCAAAATGACAAGGGGGAGATAGAGGGAATCCCACGTCCTCACTCCCTCTCTCCCCTGGAGAAGAGAGTCAGGCAGATGTCCTTCTCCTGCCCTTGGACATCAGGACTCCAGGCTCTTGGCCTCTGGCCCCACCCCCTTCACCCAAGGCCCCCACCCCTGGGGCTCTCAGGCCCTGAGCCTCTGACTTGGGGCCACACGGTGGACTTCCCTGCTGGGGCTGTCATGCTACAAATTCCTCTGCTCTTCAGTTTGCAGTTGGCCTAATGTGGGACCTCTCATCCCCCAAGACTGTGGGGCCGATTCCCCTAGTAAGTGCTCTCCGTTGTTTCTGACTCTCGGGGGAGTGCTGTCTAATACCCCCACTATCCACTTCCCCTCCGGGGTGCAAAGCTCTGCATCGGAATCGTCCTCCCACATCCCCGTCACTACTCCCTACACGGTGAGAAAAATGTCATGTGTGTGTGCATGTGCGTGTGTGAGCACATGTGCAAGTGTGTGTGCATGTGCATGTGAGCACATGTGCATTTGCGTGTGCGTGTGTGAGCACACGTGCATGCGTATGCAAGTGCATGTGTGTGGGCACATGTACATATGTGTGAGCACACGTGCGTGTGTGCATGCATGTGCATGTATGATCACATGTGCAAGTGTGTGCATGTGTGTGTTTGAGCACATGTGCATATGTGTGTGTGTGCGTCTCTCTGTGTGTGTGTGTGTGTGTGGAGGTGGAGGTGGAGGGGCCGTTGTGGTGAACGCAGAGACAGAGTGAAAGCCAAGAGGCTGCCCTGAACACTGGCGTGCTCACAGAGGTTCACACCATGTAGTGATGCCGCCGGCAGGAGCTGTGGGCGCTCCCAGGGATGCGTTTAGCAAGGAGCCACCTTCACTGCCTGCCCTAAGAATGGCACTGACCTTGACATCTACGACCATGGCAACGCGAATGGCACTGTGTGAACTCACCAAATGGTTGGCTTTGGCTTCTAGATCGTATGCAAATGATAAAAGGTTCACTTTTGTGGGAGATTTTCCAGTCTACAAAAGAAGTTAAAAAAAAAGGTGTCATGGATACAGGATTTTTAAACATTGACAATTATCTGAAAGGCAACAGATTGACCATGAACCCATACCATAAAGTAATAAAGGAAGGTAAGAAATCGTAGCACAGCTGACAACATCCGCATTTTCATTTGTACACCTTATTTTTATTCAACCACATTATTTAACCAAAAAGGGGAAATGGTCACTACAACAAGGATGAAACTTAGCACACTAAGTCAAAGCAGCTGGACACAGAAGGTTACAAAGTGTAGGCCTCCAGTGGTGTGAAATTTCAGAATAGGTAAACCCATAGAAACAGAACACAGATCGGTGGTTAGGGTAGGAAGAAATGGGACAAGTGCTAATGGGCACTGGGCTTCCCAGGGATGATGGCGATGTTGGGAACTAAACATAGGACAAATGCCACTAAACTGCTTACTTTAGAATGGCTGACTTTAGGTTATGTGAATCTCATCTTAATCAGAAAAACGGAAAAAAGAAACATACATATCCAGTGTTCTAACCCCCGCCCCCCACCAAAAACGATCAGGCACGCACACACGGGTCATACCTGTGTGAGGTAGCTGGCATAATCGATTTTGTCTATTCCACATTCAGAAAATTCCTGCAGGTTTCTTTTTCCTGAGTCATCCAGCAGCACGATGCCGTCAAGATTTATGTTCATGCTTTCAAATTCCCTGACTAGTTTTTGAGTATGCTGCGTGAAAAAGAAAGAATTATAAATCAATCCACTATTCTCCAAGGATATCGCATCCTTAGTGCTTGAGAACAGCAATGAACCTGCGTGGGACAAAAACAAGGATGACAGCATGCACACACATAACTGCCATTCTTCCTGGTACTCCCCTCCCTAGCTTTCCTCCCTCCTGGCCTCCCTGTTCCTCCTCGATTATGCCCTAGGGGGAGGTGGGACACAAAACAGCATGCATTAATCTCCACCCTCGCTGACCTCAAAGGGAAGAGGCTGTGTGGTCAGGGAAAAGGACCGCTTCAGGACACCAGGGGCGGGGTGGGGCGGGCAGAGGCCTCCACAAGGGGGCAGGGGAGGACACTCAGGAGCACGGGGCCTGGGCACCCCAGCTCACAGAGATGAAAAATGATGCTCGAAGGAACAGGGTAGGCAGCCACCTGGGAGGGGACCAGCCTCAGGGTCTTAACACTCAAGACTGGGGCAGGGGTCCGGGCAAAGGAGGAAGGAAGTCACTCTGTTCCACCTGTTCCCAACCCCTCTGCCTCCTGCCAAGTGTCAGCTCAGTTCACTGGAGCCCGCCCTGGAGCTCTGGGGGCCATGGCGTGATTCACAGAAATGAGGACACAGTGAGCTGTAGTCTCCACGCCAAGTCCCCAGTTCCAGACCTGGAAGGAAAGAGGGGCTGGTCTTGGAGCACCAGTCTCTGTGGGAAGCAAGTGGGGCTTGTTCCTGTAGGAAGGCAATCTGACACGAGGAGGGGTTCTGGCTGAGACCCTTCGAGACAGCTGGTTGCGAGGAGGGGAGTGAGAAAATGTTTCACAACTCGTAAGGGGTGAGGATTTGCACAACCTTGTGAATGTGCTCAATGCCACTTTAAAATGGTTAATTTTAGGGACGGGTGTTAGGGCACAGTGGGTTAAGCCACTATCTGCCATGCTGGCATCCCATATGGGTGCCAGTTCAAGACCCAGTTGTTCCACTTCTGATCCAGCTCCCTGCTAAGGTGCCTGGGAAGGCAGTGGAAGATGACCCCAAGAGCTTGGACCCCTGTCTCCCATGTGGGAGACCAGAATGTGGCCATCTTGGGAGTGAACCAGCAGATGGAAGATGTGTCTCTATCTCTCACTCTGCCTTTCAAATAAATAAGTAAATCTTGGGGGAAAAAAAGATAATTTTAGCTTACATGAATTTTGATCTCAAATAATAATAATAATGATGATGATGATGATGATAAAACCCAGCCAGATTCAGAAAGACAATTATCAGCTGCAGGACTGGTTCCAGGCACTCACCTGTCCGATGTCGAGCTGCTCGGTGATGTTGAAGCGGTTCTGCAGCTGAAGTGTGGTATAAATGCCTTTATCATCTTTGCAGTCGCTACGGGAAGAAACAGAAATCATGACTCAGGACAGCAGCCGTAGCTACTGGCTACCACCGTCCAGTGCTAAGGACAAGAACAGGCGACTGTTGCCCTCCGTACAAACTGGATGGAAAACGAGGGTCACAGGAGTCTCCTTCAGCCCCTAGCCCCTGTCATTCTTGACTTTATTCCCTGCTTTGCCAATGGTCCAATTTTTGGAATAGATATGATAGGATGGATAAATTTCCTTCTGTTCTTGTGCTGTTTCTAATACTGCTGTGCACAACAGACCGAGAAGAAATAAATTCTCATTAAAATCCCCCAAAACGATACTTGGAGGGAAATGTGCACCGTGAAGTAGAGTCAGGTGTCACTTACTGTTGAGGATTTGCTCTGAGAGATGCATCCGAGGGTGATTTTGACATTGTGGGAACCATCAACAGGGTGTACTTAGACCAGCGACGGCAGCTGTGATGTCACCACGTAACGTGCTCTTAGGGACCACTGGCTGTGACCTCTGTCACTGATCTCAAAGTCGGTATGTGGACCACAACTATGTCTCACTGGCTTCATTAGAAGACTCCTGCAGGTCCTTGACAAAACTGTTTCTCAGCCATATTTCCAGGGCTGGACTTCACTTACTACATAGATGCTTAGCCACATATTCTAAAGGTGATGAGGAAGATAGGAAGGGGCCACAGGCATCCAGATGTTCAGTGTAGTTTGGCTGTCAACCCAACTCGGCCACCTGTGTGAAATGGCCTCACAGCTCTGCGCCTCCATCCCCTCTCTAAATGCCTGCTCAGCTGAACCAAGAAGGCTGGTCCCCATCTAATGTATGTCCCTGCCACAAAGACAGGTGCACTCCAGAGCTCCATACTTGGGAGCCAAGAACTCAGTACAAGACTCCCATGTGGGTGGCAGGAATCCAATTACATGAGCCATCAATGCTGCCTCCTAGGGTCTGCATTGCCAGGAAACTGGAGTCAGGAGCCAGAGGCAGGAGTCAAATCCAGGCCATGGGTGGATGTGGGCCACGGGTGTCTTAACCAATAGGCTGAATGCCTAGTGGCATTCTGCCAATATGCTTACAGGTCAAGGATAGAAAAATCTATGTGAATGAACAATCATAAGAATAGGTATTCTTACAATGTGTTGGGTACTGTTAGAATCTCAAGTATCTCACTGAACCCTAAAATACTCCCAGCGTTAGATTGCTATTATCATGATTCCTGTTAACAAAGAAGAAGTGGAGTCGTCACAGGGTCCCCAGGAGTGGAGCTGGGACTGGAGCCCACGTGGTCTGGCTGCACAGAACAGCCCTTTGGCTGCATGGCCACCGTCACATCTGTGATTTGGATCTGTTCAGGGAGTTCTTGTCATTTGGCTTTGATCTTGGGCAAGGCAGTTCTTGAACAAGACTTCTCATGGGATCCCATGAATGCTTCTTAGGATAACCCCCAAGGACAACTGAGAGGAATCCTGAGATGTCAGCATTCCAAGTTCTCAAAGGCTTCCAGTGTAAAGATTCTCTTTTTGGTCAATTTCTACAATCTGTTTTCTTTTTTTTATATTTTAATTCATTTTTTTTGACAGGCAGAGTTAGACAGTGAGAGAGACAGAGAGAAAGGTCTTCCTTCAGTTGGTTTACCCCCAAAATGGCCACTATGGCCAGCGCACTGCACCGATCCAAAACCAGGAGCCAGGCGTTTCTCCTGGTCTCCCATGGGGTGCAGGGCCCAAGCACCTGGGCCATCCTCCACTGCACTCCCGGGCCAGAGCAGAGAGCTGGCCTGGAAGAGGAGTAACCAGGACAGAATCCGGCGCCCCAACCGGGAGTAGAACTCGGAGTGCTGGTGCCGCAGGCGGAGGATTAGCCTAGTGGGCTGTGCGCCAGCTTACAATCTCTTTTCTAAGACTAAATAGCAGCTTATCTCTGAAATTGGAATTTCTTACCACTAAGGTAAAAAATATTTTTGAGGGGCAGGCACTGTGGTGTAGAAGGTTAAGCCTCCGCCTGCAGGGCTAGCATCCCGTGTGGGCACGGGTTCAAGTCCTGGCTGCTCCACTTGTGATCCAGCTCCCTGCTGATGTCCTGGAAAGCAGCGGAAGATGGCCCAAGTGCTTGGCCCCTGCACACATAAGGGGGCCAGGAAAAAGCTCCCGGCTCTCTTGGCTTGGGATCGGACCAGCTCCTGCCATTGTGGCCATCTTGGGAGTGAACCTGCGGATGGGAGACCTCTCTCCCTGTCTCTCCCTCTCTCTGTCTGTAGCTCTACCTCTCAAATAAATAAGTAAAATCTTTAAAAAACTTTTATCTTTCCTATGTCATTAATAGTTGCTTTTCACTGGAACCTTGAAGAGGCCATCTGGGAAGTGAACCAGCAGATGGAAGATCTCTCTCCTTCTGTCTCTGTATCTCTGCTTTTCAAATAAATAAGTAAATCTTAAAAAAAATACTTTTGAAAGCGAACTTCTTGCCCTGGAACATTTTAAGTAGAAAATGTCATGACTGATACCTGTAAACTTGTTCAAAAGTGAGCTTAATATCTGGTTTACTAAGAACCATGCCAGAGAGGTAGTACTTCCAATCCTCATTCAGAAGATAGGGTGTGTCCAAAACCTACAACACATAAAAAAGTGGGTTCTTTTTAAAAAAATTTATTTAAGGTAAACAAATTTCATGTATTTCATATATACAGATTTAAGAATATAGTGATACTCCCACCTTATTCTCCCTCCCACCCACACTCCAACCCTTCCTCCTCCTTCCTCTCTTACTCCCTTTCTTAATTTTTATAGTGATCTTTCAGTATACTTTATACTCACAAGATTAACCCTACACTACGTAAAAAGTTCAACAAGTAGTAAGAAGGAAAAAAACTTTTCCTCAACAGCAGAGACAAAGGCTGTGAACAATCACCAAACCTCCAAGTGTCAATTTCACTCCAGTACATGGTTTTACACCTACATGCATGAAACAAAATGAATATTCTGTTCAACTTGTTTTTGAGATGCTTTTCATATGATTTTTCTCATTAATTTCTAACTCAGAAAAAATAGTGTGGTTGGAATAAATCAATTGACTACTGGGTAACACAAATCAGAATTATTGAAATTATTTTTATTTCTTGAGAACTCCTAAGCTTTACTGTAGTAAAACAAATACATTAGAAATAGGAGTGCAAGAGGGAGCTTAATTCAAAATAACTAATTAAAGCCAGAGTAGCAGACTCAGCTCCTCTCTACCTGGACATGAGTGAAAACTCACCCACTCTCTGGCTCTGCACCGTATGTATTTGGTGAGAAATTTAGTTCACAACTCTTTATTGTGCTGACTCTCACTTTTCCAAAATGCTTGGGACCAGCATCGGTTGCCAGTCTCGGATTTGTGCAGCTTTTGGAATACTTGCATGCATATAGTGAGATACAGTGGGTACGAGACCAAGTCTAGTCAAATTCCTTTGTGTTTCACACACGACTGACACGTGGAGCCCACAGGCTCTTCTCTGGAAGAGTGGAAGGGGCACCCGGGCATTGCTGCTCGATGCTGTTAGCAACATTTGTAAACTACTGTTGAGGAAAATACTGCACCCTCCCTCCCCCAAATACCACAATCCACACCTGAGTGAGCATGCCTCAACCCCTGGCACTGATGATCCTCACCATTCCAAAATAAGAATACCACCTTTTGTGTCATTGTTCTTACGAATACCAAGAATCCCAAGTTAAGGGACTAAAACCAAACTGTTCCCATTTTGGAACTGCCCTGGAAGTAACACACAAGACACAGGGGGTTTCCACAGAAATGTCCTCCCATCCTGCGCAGGAAAACCGCATTTACCCGGAATAGCTTCCTGTTGGCGTAAGGTTCACAGATCAGTTTTTCCATGTTTGCACCAACGATAAAAGCAACAACCACGAGGAGCATCAATATCCAGGAAAAGAGGAAGCTCAATCCAGCCCCCCTGGAAACAAACATAAAGAAGCCAGTAATTCTGCAAGGGATGCGTCAATACCGCCTACCAGCAGTTAGCAGTTCTACCTACTCCGCCTAGGAGATGGACTTGGGGTCTCATGCAGTTTGTGGGCTGAACAGATCAGCCTACCCAGGAGTGAGGAGAGAAGGGGTTTGTAGCATGATCTCTCAGCATATGCACAGACCATACAGTCTACTCGCTGTCTGGCATGGCTTGGGCTCTGGAGTCAGCTGAACAAACCAATGCAGAGAGTAAAGGATGCAGCAAGTAGGGAGGGTCAGAGCCCTTGAGAAGGGGCTAAAAGGGACAACGTCTCCCTCCTTCCACAGGGATGGCGGGCAGCGGCAGGAAGAACAACTGAAGAGGCAGGCAGGGGTGTGCTGGGAGGGCCTGGGGGCTCCAGGGAGGGGGAGCCTCTGAGGGGCTTAAAGCACAGGAGGAACGCAGCCCACTCTCTTGGAAAAACACGTGGCGTGAAGGCTGGGTTTGACAGGTGCCAGTGAGGCTGGGCTACCCCTGCACGGGCTCTTCCCAGAGCCTGGGGAGGGGGGTGGAGAGGAGTCAGTGGGTGGAGGAGATATAAAAGGCAGGGGGTGGTGAAGGCAAGGCTAGGGTTCAAGGGTGACGCAGGAACACGGCCGCTCTGGGCGGGAGGGGAAGATGCAGCGAGTGTGGTTCACGGCGCCAGCAGCCCATCACAGGGCGATGCGTGGGAGTGAGATGCCCCTGCGGAGCTCAGCCGTCTGGGTTAGAGGCATACACCAGATGACTGCGGAACACTGCGGTGGGAGCTGTCAGGAAAGAAGGGGCGGGGGTGGGCGTTTGGAGCAGCCGTGAAGAGACCACTTGGGATGCCTCCATCCCAGACCGCAGTGCCTGGGTTCGAGTCCTGGCCCCTCTGCTGATTCCACGTTCCCGCTCGTGTGCTTCCGGGGAGGCAGACTGAGTGTGGGGCTCCTGGCTTCAGTCTGGCCCTGCCCCCAGCTCTCGTAGGCTTTTGGAGAATGAACCAATGAGTAGAAGCTCTCTGTTTCTTTGTCTCTCTCCCTCCCTCAAATTAAAAGCATAAATAAATAAATAAAAAGTGAAAAAAAAAAAAAAAAAAAGGAAAGAGGAGCGCGGGTGCAGTTTTGGCTGCCGCAGGGCTCAATAGGCGTTCTGGTTTCTCCAGCGAATAAACCGTTTTCCGGAGGCAGCAGCGCCCTTGCCGACCCTCGGATGAAACTGACTGCGCTTGTGTCGTCTCCCACTGCGCATGTGCACCCGGAGGCCGCTGGAGCCGGAGCAAAGTCCGCCACGCAGCGGGTGAGGGTGGGAGTCCCTCGGAAAGAACTCGGAGCCACCCTAGGGCCGCAGTGCGGCTGAAATGAATCTGGCAACACCTGAACGTTACCAGCCTTTCTCCCACTGCTGAGATAAATCGCTAGAGGCCCCAAGCCGTGGCTTTGTCTCTGCGCGTCCGGCCTCTGCAGCAGTATCTAAACAGGTGCCCCCATCATTTTTTTCATGGCTTCTCTTTTCCTTGAAGCTAGATAGCATTGTATTGGGTTATATTCCTTCTTTTATTATTTTTATTCATTTATTTGAAAAGCGGCTGGCCAGGCAGAGAAAGAGAGCAGGATCTTCCCTCTGCTGTTTCACTCCCTAGATAGCAACAACTGGGGCTGGACCAGGCTGAAGTCAGGAGCCAGGAGCTCCATCCACGTCTCCATCGTGGGTGGCAGGGGCCCAAACACTTGCACCATCATCTGCTGCCTTCCCAGAGTGTTAGCAGGAGCTGGATCAGAAGCAGAGCGGCTGGGACATGACCTGGCGCTTCAGGACGCGATGCTGGCATCGCAAGTAGCGGCTTAACCCGCTTGACTGCAACACCGGCCACTTCGGGTTAGATTTCTAAAAGAGTATGGACAGAATTTTATGAATTTTTTTCAGAGCAACTTTCTCCTTCCTTAAGCAGTTAAAGAGGTGGATCGTGTACACTCACCACCAAAATGCTTATAAAACAGTCAAGTATTCAGGATTATTAAGTTCTTAACATCAAACTAATTTTCTACCTACAAAAAGCAACACAAATACATTTTTAGTTGCTAGTGTGATTTCTTCTTTTTCCTTCTTTGTCCAGAGGTACTGGCAGTTAAGTATAAGGGTACTTCAAAACAATTGGTGGAAAAATGGAATTAAAAGATAAGCTTAGTTTGGTGCAAAATTTTTTAAATTCATGCATAACTTTTCATAAGATGCATTTTTTCGTGAAATTTTTGAAGCCATTTTGTCTACGCATTAAAATTTTTCTGTGCCCACATGAACATTTTTAATGCCATTTTCCACAAACATTTGGCGTCCCCCACGGAGACTCAGTTTAAGCCTGTGAGCAGGTGGGCTTCTTCATGAGTGAGGTCCTTCCCAGTCCTGGCAGACCCCAGGCCATTGACGTCACACTTACTTTCTAAGACGTTTGAGCTTGCATTCATGTTAATGGAAGCTTGTACCGCACTGGGGTTCGATTGTATTAGGGAAGGACTTAGAGGTCACGCGAAGTCTAACTGTGACTCCCTGTTTAATGCATGTCACTTGCCCTGTGGCTTCTCCCACCCCACATCAGTGCTACAAGAAGCTAAACAGGAGCACCTGACTGAGGTCCATTCTCTATTCCCTAACCTGCTCGTGCCCCATCAGGCTCCTCTCACTGATTCTCAATGAGGTCCATTCTCTATTCCCTAACCTGCTCGCGCCCCATCAGGCTCCTCTCACTGGTTCTCAGTGAGCTCATCGCAAAGGAGACTGCAGACCTGGCGTGCACACAGCTTCCTTCCCGTGAAGGCTTGAACACAAACACACCTGCATCCTAGCTTACCTTTCTGGAGCCAGCTCCAGGTGCACCTGGTCCTTGCCTGCCCTGATGGATTCAAGGTCTTTTCATGCCCATGACTCGGGTGTGGACGTCTTTGAAGCAGACACCATGGCTCCAGGGGCATTCCCCACTACCTGGCACCTGCTGTCCTCCTGGACTCCGACTACTGGGCTAAATGCCAAGCTTGCTGGGCTGGCAGCCTTTGTCCCAAATCAGTTCTGGAGTTTCAAGCTAGTGATACTACCGACCATCTGCAGCAGTGTCTGACATGAGGTCAGCTCGTCTTCTGGTGAATGAATGAATGAATGAAAAGAAGGAACGGAGGAATCAAGGACATCAACTTGGGCATGACTCCAGGACAGCTGCCTTATCGAGGGGCCCACTAGGTGTACACAGTGCTTTTCAGCTCGTCTGTCAAACCACCATCAACTTGGAATTTTATTTGACTTCCTACACGAGATGAAAGTACGCAAACCAAGGAAGGTACACTCATGTCTACTGCACTGGAGCCCCGAGTGTGGGACCTGTGTGTGACCTTGGTCCCCTGGCTGTGTCCCGCCCAACACAGGACAGAGAAGAGTGGACACTCACACCATGAGGAAGATGCCTCCAGTGTTGGAGACGCAGCCCCTGGTGGTGGGGGTGGCCAGCCTGTTGTAGCCACAGACGCCCAGCAGTAAGCCCAGGTTAAAGAAAATTATGATGAGAGTCAGCAGGAAGCAGATGATCAAGCAGACCAGCCACCTGGTGGAGCAAACACAGTGAAGTTACACAAAACTCATCGGGCCACGGCCGGGGCAGCTGAGAGCTGCTTGACAATCTACCCACAGAGGGCCACACTGCTGGGGAAAGTTCCCTACCCTCCAGCTCCTCCAACCCAGCCAGAAACAGCCATTGTTCTTGCAGGTTTGAGGTCTCTCTCTCTCTCTCTCTCTCTCTCTCTCTCTCTTTCTCTCTATGGGAATGTCACTATTGCTTTCTTCCTTATCTTGAACCCCAAAAGTATTACATGGGTTCCTTGAATAGGGCTTGGAAGCTTCTCCAAGGCTACAGATCGAAATGCCCCTTCTGACTTTGAACTGCCTTCCGTGTCCCTGACGCCGCAAGTGCCTATGGGAACGATAACCAAGACGTGGACAGATCACGATTAACCTGCAGATAAGGAAGTGGTGTGCTCTTTTCCCCTGGGCTTTCTCTCTTTAGTGACCCGGCAGCACTCAATGTGGCGGATGCGTGGAGTATTTAGAATGTTCCGAGCACCCCCAATCAGATGTCTGCAGCATGCAAGGCTCCGTTTCGCAAGGCTCCTGGCAGACAGCTGAGGATAACCGATCCTCCCCACCAAGGCTCCCCGGCATTCCCAGAAGCTGAGGGGTATCCCAGGGTACAAATTAAGAGACTAGAAACCTAAGAATTTGCTTCTGCTCGGTTCCTCTTGACGGAAGTCACCGCTGAAGCTTTTCATTGGATTAAGAGCAAGCTTGTAATTACACACTAGCCGTCAGCAGCTGTGCCATGGAGGCTTGTTCCAGATACTGGAGACCAAAATTAAATAAGTCATAGATCCTGACCTCAGGAAGTCTTTTCGTGTTAATAATAAATCATCTTTTAGTTAAATTTCTTTTTAAAGCAAGTTTAAGCCCTGGGGCAGGAGGACGAGGGTGGGAGAGTGGATGGCAGACAGGGGGACAGATGGTGCTATGGTTCTTTCTCATTTGTGAGATGGAGCTCGAATGAGATGGTAAGGTCATGGACAAAGGGTCTGCTTAGGTCTGTCCTGACACCTGCTGGCGTGGATACCCGGCAGGGATCCAGGGAGCTTGTCGAATACAGGGCAATGGCTCAGCCACAGCTTGAAAACCAACCTCTGCCATGTTCTAGCTGAACTTGACTTCCTCGAGCCCACATTTCCCTGGGGGACTCAGATTTTGGTGAATATTAAATGAGACATCGTGTACAAGGTGCTTGGTGGGCACACTGTAATTCTCCCCAAAACGCTAGCTAGCCATTACTGTTACTTTCTTACTCTTCGTTCTCTTGCATGAGAAAGAACCCCCGTGGGAATGAGTCTCCCCTTCTCATGGGCTGGGGCAGCATGCAGGGTTCTGCTGAGAGACTGTGGGCTGGGGCTTCACAGAGGTAGGTGCGACTGAGCTGTCAGGGAGCTCGTCAGTCTCTGCACCCCCCAGTCCTTCCCTCCCCAGCGCTCTGTCCGGGATGTCAGACCCCCCTAGGGCTGAGCCTCGTCTGCATTTCTGACCATTGTGCACAGCGGCCACTCCCCTAAGCTCTCACCGGGCAATTCACAGCTAGGAAGAGGATGCTCTTTTAGTAAGAACTATCCTCTACTCTTTTTTAAAAAAAAATAAAACAACCTGAAGAGAATATTTTTCAAATGACCCTCTTCATTACTTTTAAGCTTCAAACTCCCATTATATGCCTGAAAATTATAATGAAGATTCTAGAAGCCACCAATGATGTCAACACTGCAGGGCATTAAATAGGTGGCTTTCTCCAGTCTTCAACATTTTTAGAAAAAGGACACTTGACAAACTCACGTGGGGAGCCACACAACTCTGCTCTGAGCCACTCCAATTTCAGTGGCCGTTTTACCTAAGGGACCAGGTATTCTTGTTATGAACATCACCTAGGGCTGCAGGATTTGCTCTCCTAAGATTCTCCTTGGGACACCTCATACGTTTATCCTGTCCCATACACCAAGTTTCATTCTCCTGGTCTACGAGCTCAAAGGAGGCGCTCACCAGTAGGAGTCAGCTTCTTCCACCTTGGGCAAAATGTCGTGCAGGTACTTCTCAGACTCATTCATGTAACCGATGAAATTGTCCAGTGTCTCCTTGATAGGGAGCTGTTGGGTTACACTGTCGATTTCTGAACCAGTGGAATCCAAGACCTTTTTGATCTCTGACAACAAAGGCACCTGGGTTATGCGTTTTTCAAACATCGAAGAAAAGGCAAACTTGGGCTTTTTCCCATGCTGTGTTTGTGTTTAACATGTTCAAGATTCTACAGCAAGCATCAATACAGCCGAGACCATCGCAAAGCAATGAGTTAACCAGAGAGCAAGGTGGGAGTGAGATGGCAGTGAGATAGCAAAGTCAAGCCAGGGTGTTTTTTTTTTTTTTTCCTTCTACTTACTTTGCTAAAAATAATAATAACACTAAAACGGATCCAGTGGCGAGAACATCTACTGTGCCAGGTGCTTCCACAGTCACAGCTCACTCGTTCTGCTGATGTGAGCATTGCCAGTCCCCCCTGGACTCACAGCCACCCGAGGCAGGGATGTCCCATGACCTGCCCACACATCTCTTTTTCAGAAAGCACTGGCAACGGGACTGGAACTTGTGTGTGTCTAACTCGGGGAAGTCCTCGTTCCATGATTTTGGAAAATAAATAAGAGCGATTCCTCCAGGTATGGTCGTATTTTCATTAACATTTCACTTGACATATACATTGGGACTTCTTTAAAAAGTACCTGTGTGGCCCCTACATGCAAAAATCAAGGGTATTCCCGGTCCTCAGACAGGAGACAAGATCAAAGAAATGTCAGCTTTCGGGAAAGTGTTTGTCACCTGTGACAGGCCCTAGCCTAGGATCAAAACTTCCTGGGGTGCACTCACCTGCACCAATGCTTTGAGGTTGGCCACACGGAGGCTTTTGATAGGGACACACTAGGACCCCCAGTGGTCCAAAGTCCCTGCTCCTTTAGTGGGCTGGGGCAGGGTGGGGGAGGGTTGGAGCTTTTCGCCTCAGCAGGCAGAGGACAGAGGAGCAGTTCCCAGAAGCGCCCTGGGCCCAGGAAGATGGCAGCATGGTCCAAAAGGCCACTCGTAGGGCAGGAAGCTGCTCCCAAGTGGGCTTTTCAGAGTCCGTGAAATGGAGGCATCAAAGACACAGAATGGGGTGGCCAAGCCCCGGGGGTTGCTCGCGCTCCACAGTGGTTTGTGTGACAAAGCACCCAAGGACCCTGGGCTGAGACAACTCTGCGGAATTTTGCGAGTGTGATGTGTAGACTCATGGTGGCTGGGGGCCCTTGCTATGTGGCATGGCCGCCCCCACGCACCGCACAGCTCCCCGGCTGGGCCACCCCGGGCTCTCGCGTGTGTGGCTGGGCCTTCCCAGCAAACCCCTTCTACAGGCCTCAGTTACAGGCTGCTTTCCCCACGAAGTCTGCCCTGCCCTCTCCCCACCTTGGCTCCTGGCGTGGTCGGTGTGATAATGACATCTGTGGGCACGCCTGGCCAAAGGTCAAGCAGAGGATGTGCCTTTTGCATCCCACATCCCCAGCGCCTGGCAGAACCTGGCACGAAGCCGGCGCTCAGAAAGTGCGTTCGGGGTAGGACAGAACCCCAACGCGGGAGCTGAGGAGGTGACCATGAACGCCTGACTCCAAGGCTGGCGGGGCCTCCCGTGTGTTTAGGCAGTGACCCCACGTGCCGTGGGCCTCGCTCACACATGCCGTGCGCTTTGCTTGGTCAGACTTACAAGGGAAGGTGCACACACGGGCAGGAGAAGTCCAGAGAGGGGAAACAAACAAACAAAATGACAGATTAGTAAGCAGGTGGCTACAGTCACACAGCATGCATTTGCCTTCTGATGTTAGCAGGGGAAGTTCACGCTGCGAACTCCATCTTTAACATCCCCATACTTCAAAGTAGAATCTTATATTAAACACAAACTATCTAAAGCCTATGGAACAGGATAAAGAGCTTTTTCCCAAACTCTTAATGGGGTGAAGGAACACCATTAGAAAAACAACAAACAAACAAACACAAATACTCCTACCTGAATATTTTAAAAAACACTTGGTCAAAGGTAAAAAGAAACAATGGGAGGGTGATTTTTTGACAAACACAGAAGGTAGCTGTACGTAGCTTCAGGGAGTTCTCCAAGCAAACGGCCCAGCCTGGTGCCCTGCAGTTCTGCACTAAGCCTGCGGACACTGAGTTCTCCCTCTGTGTGCTCACTCCGGATACCACAACCGGATGCAGCGCAAAGCCACTATTGAAGGCATTGCCTCTGCTATTCCTGCCCCCAAGCAACCTTGGGAGCCCTAAACACCCTGTAGCAGCTTCAGCAGACAAATGGAAACCTTCCTTAAAGACAAAATAAGTTCTTAGCTACAGGATTCCACAAACAAAACAAAAACAATTTTAAGTTCTTTTAGAAAATGCAACAATGCTTAGCTTTTCCCCAGTGAAAACAGTCAGGCTATGATTCTCTTTTCTATGGCTGTTGTCTGATCTGTAGGAACACACAGGGGTTCACCCCAGTGCAGCCCTCACCATATAGCACTGGCCATTATTATTATTATTATTATTATTATTATTATGTTTTTAAAATCTACATCGTTTCTCTAATTGAAAAGCTCTGATGTTCATTTGGTTTTCAAGGTTTAACTGAGAGACCACTTTTTATTTACAGCTTTTCTATTTTGATCAACAGCTTAATTTTTTAAAAATGTATTTGATTTCATTTTATTTGAAAAGCAGAGAGACAGATAGAATGAGATCTTTTATCCTCTGACCCACTCTGCAAATGCCCACAACAGCCAGGACTGGGCCAGGCTGAACCCAGAAGCCCAGAATTCAATGCAGGCTTTTCACTGGGGCCATTGTCTCCTGCCTCTCAGGCATATTGGCAGGAAGCTGAGCGGAAAGTGTGGTAGCCGGGGCCTGACCCAGTGCTCAGATATTGGATGCAGGCATCCCAAGTGGAGACTTCACTGCTGTACCACGTGTCTGAGCCTGACAGTTTTTTTAAGGAGAAAAGAGCAATGCCATCCTTAGTAACACATTTCCGTGTACTGTAGCCATGCGATTCTCAACAGTGAGAGAGACGGAAGGACCTCAGAGTAGGAAGCTCACCTGCTACGACGGCCGTGCTTTGCTGTTGTACCCTCTCAGGTATGTCATTGAAGGATTTGTAGCCCTAGAAAATATTTCAAATAAATGGATGCACACAGGAAAATGAAGACCAGGTGACTTAGTACTCATTTTTCGGCTTGAGATGGAGTAGAGAAGTAAATTCAAAATATAACACTTTTCTTGAAGCTGAAATTGCAATATGGTCATCAAGAATCTAAAAAAGAAAAACCCTCTAGAAATTTAAAAAAAAAAAAAAATTTGAATCAACGATTGTGTTACAAGCTTTCGTACGGAACATCTCCAAAACTGTAAAATCAACACCCAGATCCTAGGAATTGGGACGGATACGCGTATCCATGGCGCTGGTTCTCGACTGGAGGGCGTTTTGTCTGAAGACATTCTGGCTACGGTGATTGTGGGGTGCTGCCAACATTGCGTGGGTCCAGGCCAGGGACACTACCAAAGGTCCCACAATGCCCCGGAGAACCCCACAACCAAGATCTGAGCATCCCCACATCTGAACGTCCCCAGTGCTGGGATGGAGAGGCCCCCACACTGTAGGAAACCCCGTGCAGACAGCAAATTGTGCAAAACCGAATCTTGCTTTCCAGGGCAATCACAAAGTGAAATGGAGACCCAGCCTCACACACACACAATAACGTCCCCAAACACAGCTTCAGAAAAGCTCAAGCATACGAATTAAGGAAGGCTAAGACAGCAATGAAACCAGGCTCTATGGTTCCGGGGCTAAACCCACGAGAGCTAAGAACTCCACTAAATATCGACTCTCCCCCCGGGGGGCACTGATTGTGTCTTGACGCTCTGCTGGGGACAAGGGTGCTGGGAAACACTGCAGGCTTCAACTGCCCGAAGACTGACGGTGACAGCCAGCGTCCACACCAGCACCGCTACTCCGCAGACTTGAACTGCCCGAAGACTGATGGTGACAGCCAGCGTCCACGCCAGCACCGCTACACTGCAGGCTTCAACTGCCCGAAGACTGACGGTGACAGCCAGCGTCCACGCCAGCACCGCTACACCACACGCTCCAGAGGGATGGGTGCGCACTGCCCTGCTGGTCTCCACTTTCCCTTGCCTGACTCTCTGGATTTATCCGTGTTGAGACTTGCAGTGTCAGCGGGCAGGGAGGCTTCAGGCTGGAAGGGGCCGCACAGCTCCCTGGCTCAGGTTCCTTCACTTAACAAAGGGTGACAACAGGGGACAATGACCAAGCCTTTCAAATGCCTATTTTGTCAGGACACACAGACAAGGATTTGATCAATGTGAGATGCTTTTGAGTCAAGCATGAAACTTCCCTCTCCCTTTCCTGTACACCCAGGGCACTCTATTAAACCATAATCTACAAACATGTTTCCTGTGTATGAGGTACCTACTGGTTGCATAAATAGCAACAGCTAGTAAGCTCCTAGGTAAATCATGGTATTCTAGACCATGCTGCCCCTGACTTTTGGGGGCTAACAGCCTAGCAGGGAGGACAGAGATGTTAAAGAAATAATTACAGTTAGGAAGAACTTAGCAGAATAGTTGCAATGCTGCGAGAATGTACTAGAAGAGATTTTGGCCTGGCCAAGGTGCTAGGAAAGGCCTACTTACAGAAGTGATGTAGGAAGCTTTAAAGATTAAGCAGGAAGGCGAAGGAAGAGGAGAAAGAAGAGAGTGCCAGGCAGAGGCATTGCAAGTGCACACGTGTGGCAGCCAGAAAGCAGCGTGGCTAAGGCGTCACAGAGCGAGCAGCAGTTGGAATCAGAACTCCTGTGGGGTCTGGCACTGTACCTGCTAAGTTCCGTGCCCAGGAAAGCAGAGGGTGTTTGGGGTTTTCTGTAGCACATGGGGCTTTGCACTTAGTAGGAGCTTAGCAAAAGTGTCTTGAACTGAAATGGTGAACAAACTTACCTGGAAGATAATAGCTATCCCCCTTCATGGCAACCCTTGGGCAGAATTTCAGTGCTTTGGTGTTTTGTTTTGTTTTGTTTTGTTTTTTTTGCTGGTTTCTATTTTCTTACGTACTAATGATATAAAACAAGCTACTGCATTTTTCCAAACAAACAAACAACATACCTGTTCAACCATGCCATCCAAATCAGTACTCAGAACATCATTAACTTTGTTAAGTTCTGCATCCACTGATGGGAGCTGGAATTTTATAAAACAAAACATAAGGCAAGGAGGTTATCCACAAAATGATTCCTCATAAAAAAAAGTCCTTTTGCAGCCAAGTTGCAAAGTGACTTTATTACGGAGCAGGGCCTCAGTGTATTTTGTACGAAACAGCATCGTTGGGGGAAATCACTTGGCACTCAGAACGGCCCCGACAAGCAGCAGCCTGTGGCTGTCTGGAGGTCTCTTGCTGTACCCAGCTAGAAATGAGGCAAAGAAATCAGCACAGATGCAACATCTGTGACCTCACACTTGCAAGAACTGCATGTTGTCGGAGAAAGTAGGCTGCAACCTTTGAACGTGACCTTGAAAAGTCACCCAGTCAGTGGCTGTGTTCCTGTGCAGACCGGACTGGGTTTTCCACTGAGGGCTAAACGTGGACCTGAACCTGCAGGGAGCGTTGCAGGGATCAGCAAGACGCGGCCTCTCTCCAGGTGGTGCCCAGGACGCGGCCTCACTCTGTGACATTTCTGTGGCCGGCACTGTATGAGAAACTTCCATCTAATCACGAGAGGACATCAGACACACCTTAAGGGGAAGCTACTCTGCACAACAAATGGCCTGCTAAAAAAAATCAGTGTCACAAAAGGAAAAAGACTGAGAAACTACTCCTGATGAAAAGGAGAGAGAGCCAACTACAACATGAGCCAGGCCTGGAGCCCGGGCTGGAGGAGGAAGAGACCCTTGAAAAAGGCCACGGTAGTGTGGGTCAGTGTTCCGTGCCCTGATCTTGATAACCACATGATGGTTATGTAAAGTGGAAATGCCCTAAAACACGTAGGGGCAAAGAGACGTGAAGTCGGTAACTTATCCTCCACTTATCTTTTCAGGAAAGAACAAAAGGCCTAGCATTGTATGCATTTATGCAGCTTGCAATGGGAGTAGATGGGCAAACAGAAAATGATATGGCAAAGCAAACGGGACGGAGTGTTCCTCCCGCAGAACGTGACCAAGGCTGCAGGCGGGTGTTCCATGTCCTACGCGTGTACCTTGTCTGCATTTTGAAGGCACATTAAAATAAAAAAAATTACCTCTAAACAACTTACCTGCAGCTCAGCGCTAAATAACTGTCTGAGAGGCAGATTGTTAGGGTGCAGTGGAGTAAGCCATCGCTTGGGACACCCACATCCCACATCCAAGTGCCTGAGACGGAGTCTCTCTACTTCCGGGCCAGCTTCTTGGGAGGCAGCAGATAACGGCCCAGGTGGGTCCCTGCCACGCATGTGGGAGACCTGGATTATAGTTCCTGACCCCTGGCTTTGGCCTAGCCCGGCCCAGGCTGTTGCAGGCATTTGAAGAATGAACCAGTGGCTGGAAGATCCATATCTCTCGTTCTCTGTCACCCTTCCTTTCACATAAATAAATAAAACTTTAAAGACTAGATAACTGTTTCAGGGCAGGCATTTGGCCTAGTAGTTACCTTCATACTCAGCTCCTGAATCCAGCTTCCTGCTAACGCAGACCCCGGGAGGCTGCGCTGACGACTCAAGTCACCCACCAATCCCAGCCACCCACCCGGGAAACCCGGATCGAGTTCCCAGCTTCAGCCGAGCCCAGCCTCAGCTGCTGCGGGAATTTGGGGAATGAACCATTGGATGGCAGCTCTCTCTCTCTCTTTCTTAAATAAATAAGTAAATGAACTTAAAAGACCACAAAACTTCAGAAAGAATGAAAAAAAAACCTTAATAATTCCAAAAGGGATGAGAGTGGATTGCAAACCGAGACGTCGCCTAGAAGTGCTTCATAGGAGATCGACTGATGAAATATGAAAGTAAAAAACTATACCTATTTTAAGCATTACTTTTTTACATTAATTCCTGTTTCTATTTTAAATTTAATTATTTTATAGCCGATTCAATTTGTAGATACAATTCTAAGAACGTAATGATTAAATTCCCTTCCTCCCCCTCCCTCCCATCCTCCTTCCTTCTCCTTTTCTTTTTAGTTTTTGAGATAACATATTCTAAATATACAGTAAAAAGGCTTAGTACTTCACCGAATAAGAAGTTCAACAAGTAAAAAGCAAAATGACCCTAGTTTAGTGGGAATACAGACTATGGCTATAAAAAATAATTGAATGGAAAAATGACCATTTCACCTATATACAGTAAATTTTAAATTAATCACAGATCATTAAAACTATAGTAGTATAACATTTTTACTTTTTGAAAGACTTATTGTTTTGGGAGGCAGAGTGACAGATAGAGAAGGAAAGATCTTTCATCTGCTGGTTCACTCCCCAAATGCCCACAACAGCCAGGGCTGTGCCAGGTCCAAGCCAGGCACCAGGAACCCAGAACTTGAGCCATTCCCTGTTGCCTCCCAGGGTGTGCATTAGCAGGAAGACGGAATTGGGAGCAGAAGCCCAGACTCAAACCCAGGCACTGCAACATGGGGTGCAGGTGTCCCAAGTGGCACCTTAACGATTATGGCAAACGCCCACAGCTGTATTTTAAATTTTAAGAATCTACATGAATGTACTCTGATTCCTTTCTTCTTTTCTACATAGCAGGGACTCCCTTCACTTCACTGCTCCTGCTGCAGTAAACCTACATGGTGGTCAGATGACCCAGGGAGGCGTGGGAGTTAGCCCAGTCCAACTCAGCCCACTGCGCCCCTGACAGGTGCACCCACGCCTGGCCCTGCCCAGGGGTCGCAGCACACTGCCCCCAGCCCCTGCTCACCTGACCCAGCTCAGAGTTGCCCTGCAGTTGGCTCAGAGAGGTCTGGATGCTGCTGCAAGTCTCCACGCCCGGCTGCACCAGGCACTGGGGGTCCTGGAGGGACTGCTCCACGCTGGTTCTGACGTCCGTCAGACTCCTGTTCAGCTGCTCGCTGCTGCTGTGCAGGCTGTCCAAGCTGCTCTTCATGCTCTCCAGGGCCTCCTTGGTCTCTCTGATGGCTGTGGGGATGCAGCCTGCCTCAGAGCAGCGCACGCACGCCCAGCACACGTGCCGCCTACAAGAGGGCTCCAAAGGCACTTGAGATGAACTTGGAAATGACATGGGATGGTAGCCAGAGGAGTCCGCTGTGAATGGGAGTGTGGGGGCACTGCTGGCCTCCCACACCAGCTCCCCCACCCAGCCCAGCTCCCCCATACGGATTCCTCTCAAACAAGAAGCAGGGGGCATGCGCCAGCCCAGGAACATGTTGGGGATTTTGGCGCAGCATTAAGTGGCTGCCCGCAGCCAGCAAAGGTGTCACTGCCCAAACTCGAAGAGCTCAGTCCAAACAAGTCCCCATCCCAAGCAGTTACAGCCCACGTAGCCACGGAGCCCACCCGTTCATGTCGTGGCTGGAAGGAAACCCAGAGCAGCGGCTAAGAGCATGGATTTACATCCAGGCTGGTCTTCTGCAGATCCCGCAGCTTGGCTACTTGCAGTGTGACCAGAAGTAGATTCCTGAACCACTCTGAGCTGATTTTCTCATCTTAAAATGCTGAAACGGAAGGCCAGCCTTGTGGCACAGCAGGTTAAGCTGCCCCTTGCAATGCCAGAACCCCGTATCACGGTGCTGGTTTGAGTCCCGGCTCTTCTTTTCTGATCCAGCTCCTTGTTAATGTGCCTGGGAAGGCAGCAGATGATGGCTCAAATACTCGGGTCCCTGCCACCTGCATGGGGGACCCAGATGAAGTCCCAGGCTCCTAACTTTGGCCTGACTCGGCCCTGGCTGTTGGGGCTGGATGGGGAGTGATCCAGCAGATACAAGAGCCACTCTCTATCTCTTTAAGTCTCTCTCTCTCTCTCTCTCTCTCTCTCTCTCTCTCCTTTCCTGCCACTCTGCCTTCCAAATAAGTCTTTAAATTTAAAAACAAAAGTCTCTGTGGGAAAAGTTGTGATATTTAAACCAGAGGGCGCTATTCTTCTAAGATCTGGTAGATCTCCACTCTGTGGCCACAAACGTGTGGCACTCATGGGCTGTTACAAGGAAAAGTGGGAGTGCCCTTAAAAAATTGGGTGCTCTACCCTTCCCTGGAAACCACATAAAACTGAGTATTAAAACGAGACACACAGGGGCCGGTGCTGTGGCGTAGCAGGAAAAGCCACTGCCTGCGATGCCGGCACCCCATATGGGCACTGGTTTATGTCTCGGCTGCTCTACTTCCAATGCAGCTCCTTGCTGATGCACCTGGGAAAGGAGAGGGAGATGGCCCAAGTGCTTGGGGCCCTGCCACCCACACAGGAGAGCCAGAAGAAGCTCCTGGCTGCTGGTTTCTGGCAGCCGTGTGGGGAGTGAACCAGCGGATCAAAGATCTCTCTCTCTCATCTCTCTGTAACTCTTTCAAACAAATAAATTAATCTTTAAAAATAAATAAATAAAACCAGACACATACATGCATACACACACATGCATGCACAAACACAAATGAACTTCAAAAAGTTTGTGGGAAGATAGCATTGAAAGATAAATTTATTTTGGTGCAAAAAGACTTTGAAATCCAGAAACAGTTTTTTTGTTTTGTTTTGTTTTTTGTTTTTTTTTTTTTGACAGGCAGAGTGGACAGAGAGACAGAGAGAAAGGTCTTCCTTTGCCGTTGGTTCACCCTCCAATGGCCGCTGCGGCCGGCGCACCGCGCTGATCCGATGGCAGGAGCCAGGAGCCAGGTGCTTTTCCTGGTCTCCCATGGGGTGCAGGGCCCAAGCACCTGGGCCAATCTTCCCCCCTCACTCCCTGGCCACAGCAGAGAGCTGGCCTGGAAGAGGGGCAACCGGGACAGAATCCGGCGCCCCAACCAGGACTAGAACCCGGTGTGCTGGCGCCGCTAGGCGGAGGATTAGCCTAGTGAGCCGCGGCGCCGGCCTGTTTTTTTTTTTTTTTTTTTTTTTTGACAATATGCCCTTTCTGTGAGCTTTTCGAGGAATCTTTGTTATGTGTGAATTTCAAAATATTTTTGCAGCTTATTTATATCTTTTCACTGCATTTCCCACAGGCTTCTGCAGCGCCTTCACGTGTGTGTGTGTGCATCCACATACTAGCTGGTGCTGCTCACGGACTCTCGTCAAAAGGAGGCTGGGGGCTCATCCCAGGTCTGCTGCTACCTGGCCGTGGCACCTCTGGCAAACACCTTCACCTCTCAGGAACTCAGTGCCCGTGGCTGTACATTTGGGAGCTGGGGGAGTCACTTCCTCATTACTCCAAGAGTCCATGATTCTAGGCCCCGGCCTAACAGGTTTGGGGGCTGAACTCTCTGGAGATGATGTCACCGTGCTAACCAGGTCTCACCAGGTGGCACAACCCAGAGACCGAGGGAGGCCTCCAGAATTGGGCTGTCTGACCCTCATCTGAACAAAACACCTCCGGATTTGCTTCAAGCAGTCTTTGCTCTTGAACTTCGGTCCAATCATTATGTTAACATTAAGACTACCAAATAGTGATCGGGCATCAGCTTCTCCTGTCTCCTACTGGCCTCCAAGCGTCCACAGCAGAGTGTGAAGCCTGGTGTCCAGCTCACAGTAAAGGCTCCATAAACATCCACCACAGCAACACAAAAGACAAAAGCTCAGCAACCCGTCGCCCAGAACGGAACGCAAGTGCACCTGCTGAACTACACCTCACCATACACCTCACCACACACCTCCCGTTTCAGCGTCCTGAGGTTTACCTCTTGCGGACTTTTCCACTCTGACTCAAGATGAGTAATTTTAGGGCAGGAAATTGACAACAGCCAAGATTAAATAAACCAATGGTCCAGGAAGGTGGCATTTAGGCACCACGCATAGACGCTGTGAGTCACAAGTAATACTTGGTCACGTCCCAGGAAGGATGTCGAGGTAATAAATAGGTACTTTCCAGAAACCTATAAAACATTCACCAGCAGTCCCTCCAGGCCTATCAAAACCACATGTATCAGGAATCTGAACTGAGAGGAAAAGACATTTCAGATTCTCGGTTTTAGTTCATTAACATTTCATCAGCTCAGAGCCCATTTCCTTCTGCACCACCTGCAGCCCCAACACCAGGGGCACAAAGGAACTGGCGCGTGTTTGCCTTCCTCAGCGTCCACTAACTGAGAGCACTTTTAGCAAGACTTTTCTGGGTCAGATTATTAAACATACTTCATGAAGCTCTGTCAACACCCAGAGGCTGACCTTTAACTTATTTAGGCTGCCTTAAAAGAAAGAACAAAAATTGGCAGAAAGAAAGGAAAGAGGAAGGAAGGAAAAGAACTTTAATAATAATACAAGAAGCCCTCAGAGAAAAATAGAATCTAATCTGTCTTTTACATAGAAAGTGCTATAATTCAAATATTAAAAATTGTCAGAACATTGGGCAGAAAGGAAAGGTAAATGCCAAGCACAGTGCATTGTTTGTAAGCTTTTTTTTTTTTTTAAAAGGACTTATTCTTTATTTATTTGAAAGGCAGAGTTACAGAGAGAGAGAGAGAGAGAGAGAGAGAGAGAATCTTCCACCTGCTGGTTCACTCCTCAAATGGCTGCAATAGTCAGAGCTGGGCCAGACTGAAGCCCGGAGCCCAGAACTCCGCGTGGATCTCCCACATGGGTAGCAAGGACCCAAGCACTCGAGCCGTCTTCTGCTGCCTTCCCAGGCATATCAGCAAGGAGCTAAGTCAGAAGTAGAGCAGCTGGGACTTGAACTCTTGCTCCGATATGGGATGCAGGCTTTGCGGGCAGTGGCTGCACCACTACACCAGCCCCTGATCGTGTACTTTAGCACAGCCTTGATCCCTGCAGAATATTTGAGCTGGAAACAAATCTTAGATCTTTCACGTGCACTGAGGCTCAGGACCCAGGGTGCAGGGATGCTGGCGTCACCTACGGCTGCACAAACCCCAGAGTCCCAGAGTCCCAACTCTGCCAAGGGACCCAGTGTGGCCTTGCCATGGTTGGCACAGCAGCATCATGCATGCAAACACTGCCTGGCATACACAGGCTTTTGGCAGACTGGGTTCTGTATCCCAGCTCCACCACTCCTCCCGATACCCCACTGTCGGGGCTGAATTCAGGGCTTCCACCACCAATCCCTGTGCTGAAGCCCCAGCTCCCAGTGTGAGCGCATTTGGAGACAAGGCCTTTAGGGAGGAAACAGATTAACTGAGGTCATGAGGGCGGGGCCCTGATCCAATAGGACTTGGTGTCTTTCTAAAAAGAAGGGGAAGAGACCCAGGGTTAGTCTCAAACAGGAAGTGAGGCTGGAATGACAGGCAGGGATGAGGTGAGGAGGGAGGGAGGAAGCAAGGGGGAAGGAAGGATGGGTGGGGATGGATGGGAGGGAGGGAGGGAGGGAGGGTGCACTTTTTGAAAATCCATGTTTCTGTTCCTTATACCATGGCTGTGTAGTTTAAGATACATACAGAGACTCCTTGCTGCTAAAAGCTGTCCTTCCAAGGGGAAAATGAAAAGATAATAATCAAGAAACTCCAATGAGGGCAGCATGGTGGCATAGCAGATCAAGCCACTGCTGTGATGCCAGCATCCCACATGGGCACCCATTTGAGTCTCGGCTGCTCCACTTCCAATCCAGCTCCCTGCTATGGCCTGGGAAAGCAGTAGAAGAGGGCCCACGTGCTTGGGCCCCCACCACTCACATGGGAGACCCAGATGAAGCTCTTGGCTCCTGGCTTCACCCTAGCCCAGCCCTGGCCATTATGACCATTTGAGGAGTGAATCAACAGATAAAAGTTTCTTTCTCTCTCTCTCACTTTCAAATTAATAAGTAAATCAGGAAGGAAAAGGAAAAGGAAAGGAAAGAAGGAAACTTAAAGAACCTAGAATTCTATGGGGGTCTCATCTTCTGTACCAGGGGTCCACAGCTTTTTCCTGCAGAAGCCTTGAGAGCAGACAGTCAGGGCTTGTGTTGTGGCATGCATTATATCCACTCAACACTGCCGTCACAGTGCGAAGCCAGAGACGACAGTGGGACAAAGGCACACGGCCATGTCCCCATAAAACTTTTTTTTTTAATAGAAAGCTTTTATTTAATAAATATAAATTTCACCCATAAAATTTTACTTGCAAAAAGAAGTGGTGGCCCCTAGTGAAAGCCGCCACCCTGTTTGAGATGAGTTTCGCACCATCACCACCGCAGCTCCGGCACAAACGTAACAGAAAACAAAGAACGCCAGGTGTCTGCCTGGTCTGTGTGTGGTCGAGACCCCAGCGGTCCCTCTGGCCAGCCCTCTGGGAAACAAGGAAGGAGGACAGTCCCCTGAGGCCTGGGGACTCCTGGGTGGGATATTCTCCATCATTTTTGCCACGGGCTTACCTGTGGCCATGGCCTTGATCTCATCGAGGACTGGAATCACCACCGGCTTCAGTTGTCCACAGATCTCACCTCCCAGTTTTGAGTTAATATCTAGATTCAAAGGAGCAGAAGGCAGAGTGAAGACAGGCTCCAGGGGTCCACACAGCCCTCTCCACCTGCTCTCCTCCCACGGCCTCCGAGCTGGGCTTTTCAGTCCAGCCGTCAGCCAGGTGTAGATTCCGGCATGTAGATTTTTGTCTGACTCTTCAAAGTCCCCCCAGAGACTGGGCCCCGTGAACAAGTCGCCACACAGATGGATGGGGTTCGTATTTATAGAGGGGCACACGGTCGTCTGCAGCTGTGTGTGACTGCTGTGCCGCTGGCCAGGCACTGTCCACTTTCAGACCAGATAGCTCTTTGTGGTGGGCAGGGCTGTGCTTCCTCTCACGCAGGGCGTGAAGGTGCTGTGCCCACAGGAAAGCAAGTGCCTCCCAAGAAACAAAGTCAGGATAATACCAAAAGGCCCTGCTCACCCCAAGACAGCCACTTTCAACAAATGTGAGCTTCTGCTCACGGAATCGTAAGCTGTTTCTTTGTTTTCCCCCTCCATTCCCTCTTCTGTGGCCAAAGCAAACAAAGAAGCAAACAAAAGTCCAATGCAACTTGCAATTTCACTCACTGTTCAAATCGGAGAATGCCAGGTCCTTGGTGGTGTTGTACTGGGCCAATATGTACTTGATTTGCTGGGAAAACAAGCCAAAAAATTACATGCAATCTCTCCTTCCAAGGTTGAAAGCCACAGGAGAACGATGAGATTTAACACAGACAAAAGGATCCTGAATCAAACATTTTAAAAAGAAATAACCAGGGGCCGGCACTGTGGTGTAGCGGGTAAAGCTGCCACCTGCAGTGCCAGCATCCCATATGGGCACCGGTTCAAGTCCCAGCTGCTCCACTTCCAATCCAGCTCTCTGATATGGCCAGGGAAAGCAGTAGAAGATGGCCCAAGTCCTTGGGCTCCTGCACCCACGTGGGAGACCCAGAGAAAGCTCCTGGCTCCTGGCTTCAGATGGGCACGGCTCTAGCTGTTGTGGCTATCTGGGGAGTGAACCAACAGATGGAAGACCTCTCTGCCTCCCCCACCCCCCCGCCTCTCTGTAACTCTTTCAAATAAATAAATAAATCTTAAAAAAAAAGAAATAACCAGTAAAAGTTCTTGGTGATTTTTTTTAAAGTTAAGCAATTTTAGAATCTATATTCTAACTTTTTATGCCAAAATAAAATAAAACAACATAAAAACAGCAAGCCCGAAACAATGCTCTTGTATTCTTTTGAAAATGACTTGCGGAGTCTTTACTTCTTTGCCTGGGACATTAGCCAGTAACAGCCATCTACACTGATTCACTGGGCTTCTAGAAGGTTCCGCCTTGCACAGGAACTCTGGACAGCCAAAAGCACAAAGTTCTTGTGGGACACGCAGATCGCGCTCCTCACCTTCGGAGTCTGGTCCAAGAAGGTCCGCAGGTCTCTGAAGGTGCTGTCTGCCAGTCTCCGCGTCCTTTTCACCCGCGTCCTCACCTGGTGGTTGGCCACAAAGCCGTAGATGATACCAAGGCTGCGTAAGAGGAAGGGACGAGGGCCGTTACCACGTGATGCGGGGCTTTCAGGGAGCAGGACGCACTCGGCCCTCGGCCCCCGCCCCCCCCCATCCACCCTACAAACAGGGCTGCAGACAGGAGCCAGTCCTCTGAGAAGATGAATTTCCACTGAAGGTGACGCATCCTGTTCACACGGACCCTCCTCAAAGGAGCGACGTGCACTGGCAACTCTGGAGACAGAAGTCACCCGGGATTAAGGCACGCGTGTGACCTGGTCCTGCTGGTCCAGGTGCAAGCGTGTGGGTGCATGCACACACACACGCGTGCACACACACACGCCCACACACAGGTGCATGCGCACACAGAGACGCACACACATGTACACACAGAGACGCGCACACACACATACTCCCCGCACACCTCTGCTCAGCCCCAGAGAAGACTCCAGGGAACACGGCCACAAGAGGCAGTGACTGAGGCCTTGCTGGTCTCTGGGTAACTGTCTCCTAGTCTCCGTGTGGCTCAGGTTGAACACAATAGCGCACCTACTGTATTGTTTCACTGACACAAAGCGCGAAACAAAAAATTGAGCAACCTGACAATGTTAAATCCAAGTCAGCGGTTACACGCAGAGGAGGGGTGGCTAAGGGGCGGGTGTTCTGTTCACGGTGTGTTCACCTCATGGGAATGCACGCCTATGCACTTGGGAAAAGGATACTGTCCTCCATGCAGAGTGTCCTTCAACCACAAGTTTCCAAACCACTCTATGGAAGGCATCTTGCAGGAAAGACTACTAGATGGAAAAATCAAAAAGCAAGTTCTCAAACCATCTAAAATAGCCATATTTCACAATTCTAAGAACTCCTAATGTTGGCTAGTTACTAATAATCCTTTGACTTAATTTGACTAGTTGCTTTGTTTTTGTGACAAAACTTTGGACTATTGACAGCTAAATTTAAAAGTGCACACTGCCAAGGTCCTGTGGAATTTGGACACTAGAGGGCAGCATGGAACTATACAAACATCACAATATTTTACCTTTAGAGGCAAATAATATAACCAAATCCACATGCTTTGAGAACCAAGTTTTGCAAGTCATGGGCAAACTTTGGGGGGGTGGACAGGAATCAAATGCAAAAAACGAACGCATTGCCTCTTCAGTCGTTATCGTGGGACTTTATGCATGCACACATTTGCAGGGAGAGCGACCAAGTCTCCCATTTTCTGTCCTGGAGATCCCGTCTCCCCAGGCCAGTCCGCAGTCCTGGGTAAAGGTGGACAGCCATTCACCCCCTTGCAGTAGCAGTACATGCCAAGGAGCCCTGACTCTGTTGGTCCCCCTTAGGACATATTTTCCTGCAACAATATTAATAGGTCTGTTAGCTTTCCCCAGCTGATCCATCTGGTGGATGTAACCCAACGCTGAGCCACACCTGCAGGGCTAACAGGCTGCAGAGGAGGGGGTACTGGAGAAGGAGCATGAGGTTTGGGTTCTGGTCGCCTGACTACCATAGCTCACTGTGCAAGTTTGAAAAAGACCCGTCTTCTGTGAGCTTCAGCTAACATCTCAGAAATGAAAAGATCTTTAGCCTTAATTTGACAAATTTAGATCTAATCTAACAGATAAGTGAATCTTTGGGAGGATACTGGGTCTGGCGGTTAATGCACCCACATCACATATTGCAGTCTGGGTTGGACTGCTGGCTCGCTCCCCAAGGGCTATCCTCAGGTTCTGAGGCGCATTGCTCACTTCCTGCTTCTCTCCTGCCTGTATGCTGCATTTCCCTGAGATAGAAACTGTTTCTTTGTCAACTTTGCCTAACTCAGTGGTGTCCACAGTGGGTGCTGGTGAAGGTGGTTGAAGGATTAGATTTCAATTTCCTGTGGCCTGTTTAGAAGATTAGCCACATGTCTGAAGAGCCTAAGTCAGAAACAGTTATTGGACAAATGCCTTCACTCACAAGGTGATCAGTCAATAAAACGAAGTGCAGTGCAACACTGAGCACCAACACTGCATGTTAAAGAAGACTTACAGGGCCTGTGCTGTGGCGTAGCAGGTTAAGCTGTCCCCTGGCCGCACCAGCACCCGACATGGGCACTGGTTCTAGTCCCCACTGCTCCACTGCCAATCCAGATCCCTACTAACGTGCCTGGGAAAGCAGTGGAAGATGGCCCAAGTCCTTAGGCCCCTGCACCCATGTGGAAGACCTAGAAGCTCCTAGTTTCAGTCTGGCCCAGCCCCAACTGTTGTGGCCATTTGGGGAGTGAACCAGTGGATAGAAAATGTCACTCTCCCTCTAACTCTGCTATTCAGATAGATAGATAAATAAATAAATAAAACCCACATTTCTGCTGAACAGGGGATCCGGTGAACATGAAAATATTCATGATATTTTTAATGTACCATCCAGAATTCTAGAATGGAATTCAGTGACACTGAAAGCTGGTTTTCAGACTCATGCGCAGTATATACGTTTTGTGTTTGAGTTAAGGATGCAAAGCCAGTGCCTACAGGCGCAGGCTGAAAGCACAGGGAGAGCGAGTGCAGGGTGCTGGGGGCAGCGCCGGTGTGGGCCTCTAGGGCGCCACAGTGCGGGGGGGCCAGTGGCAGAGCAGTGCTGCCCATCATCCCTTAGCCACAAGCACCGGGAAAGCCAGATTCTTATGTGAAGTTCACCGGATCTTGAAAAATCAGCATCTGATAAACACTTTAAATACAATTTAGACGCCCTGTTAATGGTCTCCAATTGTAATCGCTAAACCTTTTATTTACACAAAGAGAGAATAAAGAATTTATCATTTTTGTTACCGATTCAGATACTATCTATTGCCCAATATATTTTTAAGCAAAAAAAAAAAAAGCCCATTAATGTTTTTGTTTTTAACAGTCAGCAGCCAACTGTTTGGATGTAAGAATCTTGGCAAAATTTCACATAATCCAGAAAGGAAATAAAATTCTACGACTCTCAGTTCTCTGGCATTTGACATAAAATATGAGCTTTTATGCAGTACCACAAAATCTGTTGAAATTTTTAGCTTTAGGCCGGCGCTGCAGCTCACTAGGCTAATCCTCCACCTTGCGGCGCCGGCACACCGGGTTCTAGTCCCGGTTGGGGCACCGGATTCTGCCCTGGTTGCCCCTCTTCCAGTCCAGCTCTCTGCTGTGGCCAGGGAGTGCAGTGGAGGATGGCCCAAGTGCTTGGGCCCTGCACCCACATGGGAGACCAGGAGAAGCACCTGGCTCCTGCCTTCGGATCAGCGCGGTGCACCGGCCGCAGCGGCCGCGGCGGCCATTGGAGGGTGAACCAACGGCAAAGGAAGACCTTTCTCTCTGTCTCTCTCTCTCACTGTCCACTCTGCCTGTCAAAAAAAAAAAAAAAAAAAAAAAAAAAGAAAGAAAGAAAATTTTAGCTTTATCGTATATTAGCATATCTATACTTATGGAAAATCTGACTTTTCACACACACACTTGTAAATAAAAAAGCTTTTAAAGAGTAAAGCTAGAACTTTAAAAATTGCAGCAGTTTTTTCCCTCTAATTTCTACTGTTACTGACATTAATCAATGAAAACCAAATAAATGCTTTCAGTCTGTAACTGACCTCTTATTTTCTAAGACAAAATTTTAATTTAAATTTTAAATAACTGGAACTCATTCTCTTTAAGAAAATCTCATGTGGCTGGCACTGTGGCATAACGGGTAAAGCCGCCGCCTATAGTGCCAGTATCCCATATCGGCGCCATTTCAAGTCCTGGCTGCTCCACTTCCAATCCAGCTCTTTGCTATGGCCTGGGAAAGCAGTAGAAGATGGCCCAAGTCCTTGGGCCCCTGCAACTATGTGGGAGACCTGGAAGAAGCTCCTGGCTTCGGATGGGCACGGCTCTAGCTGTTGGGGCTATCTGGGGAGTGAACCAACAGATGGAAGACCTCTCTGCCTCTCTCTCTCTCTCTCTGCCTCTCCTTCTCTCTCTGTGTAACTCTGACTTTCAAATAAATAAATATTTTTTTTAAAAAATCATGATTTCCAGGCACTGCTCTCACTCCTTTTACTTTCTGTTTCTTTTCTTTTCTAGAATTTTGTGTCCTACAAAGTGACACTGACACTCACATCCTAACCCAGAAGAACACTGTCTGGGATGCACTTCACCATGCACCTTGTTGGCAAGGCTGACTTAACCGAACTCCGAAACCCAGGACTACGTGGAAGTCAGGCGTAGCTGCCCTTTCTCTTGCCATGAGCTTTCTGAAATTCTGAAAAACGCGGGGATGACAAGTGTGGAAGGAAGGAAGGAGAGAAACCTGGCTTGTTCGGGGCACATCTGCAGCGAGAGCTGGACACTCCGTCTCCTGTGATGACCAAACGCCAAGATTCAACGTGCCACAGCCGCCCAGGGAGGCTCACATCACAGGACCACATGTACCCCACATTCCAGGGAGTAATTTGAGAGAACAGGTGAAAAATTAACAGTAATCAAGACAAATCTTAAAACCCATTCCATTTCATTGTAGTATTTAAAGCCACAAAATGAAATTGAACCCAATAAAAATATGCGGAAGAATTTTTCAATACCAAGTTCATCTACCCAGAGCATCCGGTCTCTGCCGAGGTCAAGGTAAGCAGGAGCCCTACACCAGACAAGGTCGCCACCACTTCCTCTGTCTGCCTTCTCTGCTGGTTGACATTCCTCTCCCTCTTCTTTGTATCTGATTTTATGATCTGGCTGGCACACCTGCTTCTCCACTATCAGATCATCGCACAGACACCTCCGCTTTCCCCAGGATCTTCCTGGCCAGCTTTGATTACTTGCCAACATAGAGCTAATAACAACTCACAGTATTTAAATACTTGCAAGCCAGCAGGGATTTCAAAAGGAAGGCAGCCACACAGTAAACTGAAAAGTTCACAGCAGAAAAGCTTAAGCTGCTCATCTGAGTTTCATAAGCAAAACAACAAACAACTCACATCCTTATTCTCATTTAGATCTAATTATATATAAATATAGTAATATATATAACATAATATATAAATTATATATAAATTCAATGTATTATGAAAATTCAAAACTAGTCATAAACTTGCCACTTAACATCAAATAGTTGCTCAACTTTGGTTTAATTATGCCAAAATCTAAAATTATGATTTTTTTCAAATTAATGTTTTACTCTGATGAGAAAAACTTAACTGAACGTGTAAAAGGCTATAGAGTACAGTATTTTTTTTTTTAAAGAATGTTCTCAGGGGGCCAACACGGTGGCGCAGTGAGTTAACACCCTGACCTGAAGCACTGCCATCCCATATGGGTGCCGGTTCTAGTCCCGGCTGCTCCTCTTCCAATCCAGCTCTCTGTTGTGGCCTGGGAAAGCAGCAGAAAACGGTTCAAGTCCTTGGGCCCCTGCACCCATGTGGGAGACCAGGAAGAAGTTCCTAGCTCCTGGCTTCGGATAGGCAGAGCTCTGGCCATTGCAGCCATTTGGGGAGTGAACCAGCAGATGGAAGACCTCTCTCTCTCTCTCTGCCTCTCCTCTCTCTGTGTAACTCCGACTTTCAAATAAATAAATAAATTTTTTTTAAAAAAAGAGAATGTTCTCAGGGCCAGTGTTGTGATATAGAGAGTACAGCTGCCTGTGACATTAGCATCCCATATGGGTGCCACAGAACAGGACCACTTCTTGTCTGAGAATGGGTTCCCAACTTCCAATAAAGTTCCCTGCTAATGTGCCTGGGAAAGCAGTGGAAGATGGAAGTGCTTGGGGCCCTGCATACATGTAGGAGGCCCAGGAAAAGCTTCTGGCTCTTGGCTTCAGATCGGCTCAGTTCTGGCCATTGCAGCCATTTGAGGAATGAACCAGCAAATGGAAGACCTTTCTCGCTCTCTCTCTCTCTCTCTGCAAATGCTGCCTTTCAGATAAATAAATAAATCTTTTTTTAAAAAAAAAGTTTTCAAAATAGAAGGAAAAAAACATCTCAATTTGTTTGATGGGTCTGAATTTTCAAAAATAAAAGTATAGATTACTTATTTATGTTTGATATCATGCATTTTAAATAATTATATTCTAAATAATTCAATTAGTTCAGGGTGAACTCTAACATATATAACACAAAGTTACATGTAATGCAAACAGAAGCCCAGTGTAAAAGGAAGAACTCAGCATACATGCCTCATTCAGAAAAAGAAAACTATTGAAAGGTCATTATGACCAAAGTAAACACTGCTCAGGTAAATGAATAACTGCACGCAATAAAGAACCTACAATAAAGAAACTACAGCATAGGCATTTACATCGAGTGAACACTGTGACCTGGCCAGGTAAGTAATGGCTCCAGCCAGGCACCACACGGGCAGTATTTCAGCTGACACTGTCCCCTCTCGGCCTCATCTGAGATGTCCTGGAGAATGGAGGGGAGAGACCCGGCTCCCTGTTGGGTCGCTGACACAGCTCTGCTCCGCCGAGGGTGTAACCACCCGGGCTGTGGGGTCTGCGTTCCCGAGAGAACCCGAAGGCAGAGCAGGCAGACAAGGACATCTGGAATCCCCAGAGGCTGGGTCCTCAGCTGCCTTTCAGAATCGAATGCGAAGAAACAGCCAGACCCAAGTCACTTCCAGAGACAGAAAAGAGAGGCAGACAGACAGGTACAGAAAGGAGACAGACAGGACGCCCACACCCAGTCTCGCAGAAAGAACAGAGAACTCCCTGGCCAACCCGCAGCCCATAACAGCAGCCAGCACGTTCCTTGGATCCTGCGGACATACGAGTTGTTGAGGGCTAGTATTCCACCATTTCCAGCAGAACCACGTCTGGCTTGATCACCAGGGTCCTGGAACGACTTTGGCTTTTGTCCGCTGTGGAGATTCTGCGCTGTTCAATGAGTAGTTAATTCCACAGGCAACACGTGAGCGTGGCCCAAACCCAGCGCAGGCAAAAAGTCTCTGTGGGGCAGGGAGCGAGAGTCTCCCCACCTTCCACGGGCCCCCACGCCCTTTCCAGAGGAGGACCCCCATGGCTGGCTTCTTGCCAAGCCTTTTACAGACATTGGGCAAATCTGACCTGGTCTTCTCATCTCCCTCCTTTCACTCTGATCGGAGTTAGCGCGTTCTACACTCGGTCTGCAACCTGCTGCTTCCACCGCATCTTGCCCGGAGGCTGTCTCCTAGCAGCCTGGCTGGGGCTGCCCCGTCCTTCTCACCTGTGTGCCTTGCACGCCAAGGACTGGGCACCCCCAGCCACCTCTGTGGTATCGGACAATACTCTCAGATTTCCAATTTCAGGGACTGCACTTCTCCATCACGATTCCGTGGGAATCAAGGAGCAAAATGGTGAGCAAGCGCCCGGGTGCTGGCTTCCTCTCAGCAGCGACACGAGAGGGAGCTGCTGGCCAGGGAGTCCTTGCTTTCTACAGCCCCCGGGTGTAGGAGGAAATCAGCGCCAACGGGCTCGGCGCCTCACGGAGCTGGGGCAGCTCCCTTGCAGGGCTAACTTCCGGTGGTGGCACCTTTTTGATTCGCCCTAGACCGCACTGGCCATCTACCTTCCTGCTTCGAGGCACTTTCTTGTTGGCACTGCTGCTGCTGTCATTTTGTTCTGTTTTCAACTCAAGGCTCTGCAGGTGAAACATGAGACATTCCTCACCGTCCTAAAACACCATAGCAAATACTGACAGAGTTTGTGGACTCAAAAGGCTTCCATAGCCTTGGCAGCTCATGTCAAGAGCCTCGGGTGATCACTGACGTCATACATAAGAGTGTTAATTGTTAAGTCAACAACAGGAGTCACTGTGCACTAACTTCCCATATGGGTAGGACTTCTGTCCTTAATGAGTTGTACTATGAGAATTAACGGTAAAACTTGTTCTCAAACAGTACTTTATATTTTGTGTGGGTGAGTGGGTGGAAATTGTTGAAATCTTTACTTAGTATAGAGTTGGTCTTCTGTACATAAAGTTAATTAATGAAGAATGGAATGGAAGGGGGAAGGGGAGGTGGGACGAGGTAGGGGTGGGAGGGCAGGTATGGGGGGAAGAACCACTATGTTCCTAAGAAATTTGTATTCATTAAATAAAAGCTTTCTTATAGAAAACAAAACCACCATGAGCTGGCCCCGGAGTCCGCTTGCCTGATGAGGATGCAGATCACCAGGAGGGTGGCGCCCAGGCACTTCCTGCGGAACACCATGTCCTCTTTCTCCCGCTGGTGCATCTTCCCCCCGCACTTGTTGCAGCAGCGACATATGCAGACGAAGCAGCCCACCAGGGGCATCAGGAGGATAAAGAGCAGTCCCAGGAAACTGCAGATGATGATCCCCATCTCGTAGTAGACAACCTGCAGGTCAAGCAAGAGAGTCAGAACACGCCGTCACACGGAGTAGCAACAACACCGCAGGGCGCACGACACCGCAGCGCGCACACGGTTCTTTTTTTCCAACCTGTTCGCCATCGTGAGCGGAACGGTAGGGTGCATGCACAGATTTTCCAGCTTGCAGCTCCTTCTTGACACAGAGGGGGAGAACTGTGTCATCGGAACCTGGGACACAGTGCTTATTGTCTTCCTTTCAAGTCCCAGCGTGAAGCCCCTCTGCAGGGTCCAACTGCGAATTGTGTAATGGGAACCCCAAAAGTATTCTGTTTGCTTTTCAGTAGTCTAGGACACCCAGGCAGAAGCACCTGTACCAACAAGCAGTCTACAGCGGGGGCACCTTACATCGGAGAGGTAGGGCAGGTTGAAGACCTGGAGCACGTTGGGTTGGGTGCATTAGTCACAAATGCAGAGTTGGTTACAAAAGAATCTGGAACATACTTAAATTTAGGGGAAAAAAGGCTTTCTAAGTCAGAGAGTTAAGCAGGACCACTGGGGCTGGCACCGTGGTGCAGCAGGCTAAAGCCCTGGCCTGAATTACTGGCATCCCACATGGACACCAGTTCGAGTCCCGGCTGCTACACTTCCAATCCAGCTCTCTGCTATTGTTCCTTGGAAAGCAGTAGAAGAGGGCCCAAGTGCTTGGGCCCCTGCACCCCTGTGGGAGACCCGAAGGAAGCTCCTAGCTCCTGACTTTGGGTCAGCGTAGCTCTGGCCATTGTGGCCATCTGAGGAGTGAACCAGCGGATGGAAGACTTCTCTCTCTGTCTCTACCTCTTCCTGTAACCCTACCTTTCAAATAAATAAAATAAATCTAAAAAAAAAAAAAAACAAACAAACAAAACCCAGGACCACTCACTTAGCTTTTCCATCATGCACTGGAAATAATAGTGTGTACTTTGTCATGTCGCTGTGGTAATTAGAGGTGACCTCTATTACAGACAACGCGCCACGTCCAACACCAGGCACACAGCACAGTGGAGGAGTGTGGCCCCTCTGCCACCAGGCCCATGAGGCTTAGGCCTGCTGAAGCATGAGGCTCGGTGCCTGAGTCCCAGACAGTGTTAAGTCTCTAAGAACCAACACAACTTCTAGATACAATCAGTCATGTGACCTGGATGTATTTGCATTATCATTGCTGTGTTTATTCTGGGATAAACGAAAAACGAATGCAATTAGGTGACAGAAGTCGACCTCACTCTAATTCATGCAGTCACATTTCCGAAGCATGGCAGAAAGTTACAGGTTGGTAGTTTGTGACCGATGAACAAGTTAGACAGCCATGGCTGCCAAAGCCCAGCTGAGCAAAGACAACCCAAGTCTTATCCTGCAAATGCATTGTTTTGGAAGATGACCTGAACCTGGAGCCAGAAGACCTGATTGACATCCCAACGTGGGGTGCTGGCTCCCTAAAGTGGGAAGTGCATTGACCTCAGATGCATCTTGTGATGGACAGGTATTAGGAGAGTTGATGTGAAAGCGACTAATCTCATGTCAGCCTGCAGTAAGTATTCCATGGATAGTAGTTAACTCCATGAGCAAATGTTTGCGAGTATTAGATTATGTGCACCTGGCACTTGAGTACTTCAATGTTAAGGCTAAAGTGTTAAAAAGAACAAAAAGTGACTGAATTTTGGTGCATTCATCAAGTTCATGCTCATTCTTTTTTTTTAAATTTTTTTTATTTGACAGGTAGAGTTATAGACAGTGAGAGAGAGAGACAGAGAGAAAGGTCTTCCTTCTGCTGGTTCACTCCCCAAATGACCGCTACGGTCGGCGCTGCACCAATCTGAAGCCAGGAGCCAGGTGCTTCCTCCGGGTCTCCCATGTGGGTGCAGAGGCCCAAGCACTTGGGCCATCCTCCACTGCACTCCCAGGCCACAGCAGAGAGCTGGACTGGAAGAGGAGCAACCGGGACAGAATCCGGTGCCCATGTGGGATGCCAGTGCTGCAGGCGGAGGATCAGCCAAGTGAGCCACGGTGCCGGCCACATGCTCATTCCTAAGCTAACCCTTGTCTCATGTCCACATAAAGCCATCATGAAAAAACTCTAAGGCTTCCTTAAGGACTAGACAATTAAGAAATCAGTCCAGGGGCTGGCGCTGTGGCATAGTAGGCTAAGCCTCTGTCTGGCGCTGGCATCCCATATGGGCTCTGGTTCTAGTTCTGGCTGTGCCTCTTCCGATCCAGCTCTCTGCTGTGGCCTGGGAAAGCAGTAGAAGATGGCCCAAGTCCTTGGGCCCCTGCACCCACAGGGGAGACCCAGAAGAGGTTCCTGGTTCCTGGCTTTAGATTGGCCTGGCTTTGGCCGTTGCAGCCATTTGGAGAGTGAACCAGTGGATGGAAGACTTCTCTCTGTCTCTCCATCTCTCTGTCTGTAACTCTCTCTCTCAAATACATAAAAAAATCAGTTTAGACACTCCAAACTCATGTCTTTTTTTTTAAGGCAGGGAGGCAGTGGTGAGAACGAGCGATCTTCCATCTACTGGTTCACTCGGCAAATGCCCACAACAGCCAACCCTGGGTCAGACAGAGGCCAGGAGCCTGGAGCTTCATCCAGGTCTCCCGCACGAATGGCAGCACCTACGTATCTGAATCATCATCATATGCCTCCCAGGATGCATCAGCAGGAAGCTGGACTGGAAGTGGAGGAGCTGAGACTCAACCTGTCTCCCCAGTATTGGAGGCACCTACCCTAAGTGGCAGCTTAACCTGCTACACCACAATGCCCACCCCACAAATTCTTAATTACGTATTTTACTATTATTTCTCAACAAATATTCTAAATTATTTACTATTCTTGAGTGAATTTTAACTTTTTAACAAATTCTTATTCATTTGAGGGGTAGAAAGACAGAGTTCTCATCACTGGTTCACGCTTCAAATGCCTGCAAGAGCTAGGGCGTGGCTAGGGCCAGAGCCAGAAGCTGGGAACAAAATCCAGGGCTCCTACATGGACGCCATGAACTCGGCTCCTCGAGCCACTACCGCTGCCTCCCAAGGTTCCACATTGGCAGGAGGCTGGAACTGGGAAACTGCACGCAGGCCCTCGGATGTGGGATGTGGGCGTTATAACCACTGGGGTAAGTGCCCACTCCCTAAAGAATTCTAAATGTCTGAACTCCAGGATATACTGAAAATATATATGACTGTATGAGTGAGCGAGAGGATATTGAAATGCTTTGAATGCACTTTTGAAAACACACATTTTCATCTTTCATGCACAGCTTTTCCAGCGTCACTAAGTACCAGGCAGCGTCAGGAACAATCTGCTCCATTTCAAGAGGTCAGTGCTAGGCTTAAGTCTAGCCAAGGAGGGCAGTTTCTAGAGTTTCTGATGCACCAATATCTTGCAGCGCTGTGGAGAGTGTTTGAAGGGCAGATCAAGCCTGAACTGCACAGAGGGGTGCTGCTGTCCACTCGAGCACTATTTAAACAGACAGAGAAGGTTCCAGACAACGGCAGAAACAAAAACGGAATGTTTTACGATCACGGAAGAGCCGACAGAGAACAAGACGTTGTGACAAGTCACGCTGCCACACACTGGCTTTAGACAAAGCAACGCGAAACGGTCAGCGGACGAGGACTTTACCTTCAGAGCCAGGACTATGTTTTCTGGCTGTGGAAGTCAAAGCAACGGACGAGGTAGCGGCAGAGGCAGCATCAAGAAAACAGAGAGTCACATGAGTGATTGACACGGCCCAGGAAAGTTCACATCCCACACAGAGAAAATCTAGCGGTGGAAGGACCAACAGAGAAAATGCTCGGGACAGCGTTTGAGTAGAGTCAAGTTCTGGAATCAACACCTGGATTTCTTGCTAGGTTCTCATCAGCGGGCTGATCAGTGTGGAAAGAGAATTGGAGTTGGAAAGCGTGCTGCAAATGCTCAACACTTGACCCCTGTGACCTTCATACAACAGAACCAGCTTCTGCCTCCAGCCTCAAGCCATGTCTTCCAAAGTGCCTTTCAAAAGTGAAAATCTGACCGCGGCGTCCCTCCCTTGCTTAAGGGCATTCAGTGGGTTCCCGCCATCTTTGATGCATGCTTCTCAATGTGGCCCTATGTTCCTTGATCACACCCCCACACTCCCTTTCTTCTTGGCTGTCCCTGATCATCCTCGTGCCCAGGAAGCACCAGGCGTTCTCCCCTTCCCCACTCTGGACTCTTCTGCTGCCTTCTCTTCCCCGGTGAAGCTCAAATCTAACTGTAGACGTGACCTCCTCCAGGAAGTCTTCCCAGCTGTCCTGGAGCCATTTGACAGCACTTTATCCAGCTCCCATAGGACCACGTCCTGCCCTGTGCTGTACATCCGGGAAGCAAGACCCATGCCTGTCACACTCACCACTCCCTGGCATGCACCCAGCATGAGACCTGGCACCCTACAGTCATCCAATCAAAATCAGACAAACGGATGCATGCAGGAATGGGAGTCTTCCCCTCGGACCAACGGTCCCTACAGTTCAGTGCAGAGACAGAGGCTGCATGGGCCAAGCCGGCGAAGCGAGTGCCATGACTCTTGTGATACGGCAACGTGAGCTCGCCTCCTAAGCCGGTCCTTCTGTGGCCATCCTGTGTGTGAAGGGAGGCGAGGCAGGGATGGTTGTCGGGGTCGATTTCAGACATTCTTCTGTGGCAAAAGACAGCCAGGTGGCTCTGGGTCTTTCTCTAGATCACTTTTTTGAAATTTCCTGGTCCAAGAAATGCAAGAGGGTGGGAACCCCTGCTCTCGGACGGCAGATCTTCACCCATGGGAATGAACGCTGCGAGTGATACCAGACGCTCTCACGTGAGGCGTCCCAAAGGCTGGGCGTGGGGGCGGGGAGAGGTCCAGCCTTGGGCATCCAAGCAGCATCTTCTACCCCTCCCTTCCCCACCTGGGCGAAGCTCCCTCAGGCTCTCAAAGGTGCCAACCAGCAGCAGCTTGTGGGTGTTGGAAGGAGCCCCGTGTGGTGGTGACGATCAGGTGAGTCTGGGGAACCTGTCCTCTGTGGCCGACAACAGCCAGGGTGGAACCTCGCATAAGCAACAATCGGCCGATTCCTCTGCACTGATTTTCTCCTCCCAAGAGTCAGCCCACTCTGATCGGCTCGGCAGGACCAGGACGCACATATCCATGGAGATGGGATGTTTTCACTCGTCCCTGCGGTGCCCACATAGAAGGGATCTGTGACCTGTGTGAGGCAGCAGCTTGAACCCCAGCTCCAGTGCTTAGCATCCGTGATTTGCTACTCCAGCTGCCCAGGATGGCCACTGGAGGCGCTTTCTAGAAACAGCCATCACCAGCCGATCCTGACCAACTATTTCTGAATCCCTGGGGAACAGGGCTTAGGTGTTGCCCCTACTAGGCTGGGAATCGACAGAGGCCACCTGTGATGGCATCGTTGGGAGAACGCCCTGGGAAGCCAGCAGGCACATAGGTCTTGCTCTAAGCACCTCGGTTGTACGTTGCAGTGTATACTGAGTGAGTGTGACGTGCTCAGCGCAGCACCTGCCGGAGAAATCACTCAGTGTGCTTGGGTGTCATGCTTGTCCCCAGCCTCAGAGAAGGACTCCCGGTCACGCACTACCTTGTTCTTGCCTCTTTCTAAATGTCCTCTGAGAGCCCCGAAATGTACCTTCCTCACGAGGGATGGAGAGCGTGCAGCCTTGCTGGGGAGGGGCAGAGGAGGGACAAGAAGCAAGCAGCTAAGTCACTCCCCTCTCCTGGACTTGTAAGTGGGATCCAATCAACATCACAACCACCCGTCCCCCTCTGTGTGATGACCTGGCATTGACTGAGTGCCAGCCTGGCAGGCGTCCAGCGACGTGAGTGGTAGTGGACAGTCAGGTCTGGGGGACAGAGGTGAAGGCAGTGGTGCTGCAGCCTGGAGACGCACCCACAGGGGGGACCCTGAGCACCAGGGACTGGCTCGTGCTGCGCTCAGCGTCTTCTATGGTCTTCCCTGCGGCCGAAGGCACACATGGCTTTTAAATGAGGCTTTCGCTTCGGCTTCTGCCCTCACTTTTCTCTTGAGTTTTACTGCACTGCAAACTGAGAACCCGATGGGGCCCTTCGTCACCTCGGTGACACCGCGTGGCCACGTTAGCATTCAGCCGGGCCAGATGCCGGCCAGTACAGAATGTCCACCTGCACGTCTGCTTTGGGCCCTGGGTGAGCTGCTTCATGGCAGGAGGCAGAGCCAGGCGCCCGACTCAGCCTGCAGTGCTGCGAACACGGCAGACAGATTTTACCCACTTTCATTGTCCTACCGGCAACACGACCTCTGTCCGTTTGTGTTCTGAGCAACCTGCACACAGAACAAACCCAAATCAAAAGATCTGTTCTTCCGTGAAGGTGCTCAGTCACGGAGGGCCATGGGGTGATTAAGCAGTTCGTGGGGTTGTTAAGGAGAGACACGCAAGGCGCAGTGACACTTCCTGGAGATACTGGCCCCTGGCCTCAGTGGGATTGGTGAGTTGCCAACCACCCCACCCCAACCCGCCCGCCCAGACTCCAACTCCGGTTCCTTCCTCTCCCTCTACCAAGGGTTCCCACAGCCTGTGGTGCGCAGAGCGCCCCCTGCCCACCATCCTCCTTCCTCTCCCTCTACCAAGGGTTCCCACAGCCTGTGGTGCGCAGAGCGCCCCCTGCCCACCATCCTCGGCCTTCCTGGCCTTTCTGCAAACCCCCAAGGCACTTCTCTGGGGACAGCTTCTTCGCAGAACTCAAGACTCTGCTTTCTCTGCCTGTAACTCACGGATCTGCTTACTGCACCCCCTCCTCCTTAGAGTCACCAGGTAGCACCTCTGCCACTTGGGGATCTCCACCTCCCTCCCGATCTCAGTACACACACACACACACACACACACGGCAGGTGCACAGTAACCACTCTTCCAAGCACAGAATCGCTGCTTCCAGGAATTCTCAAACAACTCTACTCAGGGTGTACTTCTTCCTTCCCTAAAAGTTAGTAGCATAATATTTCCTTTTAAAGAATTAAAGTTTTTAAATAACATGCAGTTTGCAAGGTTTTCTTCACATGCTACTTTTGAAACGTCTGTAGTTCAAATGGGATCTATATGGTGATTCGACAGTCCGTAAAAATCTTACTCAAACAGGATTGCTAAAAATTCAGATTAAACAACTGATGGCTAAGAGATTTATTTTCAAGTCATTCATAATTGTTCTCATATATCTTATTTTTAATAACAAGTATGTCAACAAAAAATTACCTTTTCATAGTCAACTGAAGGCTCAAACTTCTTCTGTATGATTTTTCTTACAGTATCTGGAAAAAGAGCCGTAAAATAGCAAAATCATTTTTTCAGTAGGAGTATCAAATGCATATTTAGAAAAAGGAGACCTATATATGTTAACAAGTTATTATACCTATGTGTAGCATTCTTATAATTCCTACTTATTTTTTTTCTAAAAGTTTATTTAATTTGAGAAATGAAGAAGGACAAGGAGAGAGAGAGAGAGAGAGAGAGCACTTCCATCTGGTGGTTCACTCCCCAGATGCCCACAACAGCCCCGGCTTGGCCAGGCCAAAGCCAGCAGCTGGGCAGTCAACTCAGATCTTCCATGTGGGCGGCAGGGACCCGAGCACTTGAGCTATCACCTGCCGCCTCTCAGTGTGCACGTTAGCAGGACGCTGAAATCAGGAGCAGAGCGGACTTGAACTCAGACACTGCAATATGGAACACAGGGCTCTCAGCCGCTAGGTTAACCACCCACCCCCACCTCCTAATTCCCAGTGTAGGTGAGTGATTGCATTAACGAGCCTCTATCCAGAAGCCAAAAAATGAAGGACTCATGTTTTTGATAGGCAGACTAAAGGGTTCTCATATTTAAGAGCTCACAGTTTCTCATCATGCACCTTAATGTTTGCTGGCAAGCCATACAGAACTCATTAATAATCACTGATTAAACATAGCGTTGAAATCACAAATTCTTAACTATCTGGAACCACACATGCAATTTATTTTTTGTTAATCCCACATTTGCATAATATTGTTTAAAATGAAAGGAATCTTAGAATTGACCTAATTCCATTCGAATCCAGCTGAAAAGCCCATGAGAGTATTTCAGACATGGAAAGCCAAGACACTCTGGCAAAAAAAAAAAAAACCTAAGTGAACGATCTCCGCAAGTGAGATCCCAGTGGAAAGAACAGGTCATCAAAGAAGGAGGTACCTTTCTCTGAAGGGAGGAGGTAACTTCCACTTTGATTATGGTCTTGTCCAAATATGATCAGAGTTGGCGAACTCAAAAGGCTTCCATAGCCTTGGCAACCCATGACAAGAGCCTAGGGTGGTTACTGATGCCATAAACAAGAGTGTCAATTTGTTAAGTCAACAACAGGAGTCACTGTGCACTTACTCCTCATGGAGGATCTCTGTCCTTAATGTGCTGTACATTGAGATTTAATGCTATAACTAGTACTCCAACAGTATTTTACACTTTGTGTTTCTGTGCGGGAGCAAACTGTTGAAATCTTTACTTAATATATGCTAAACTGATCTTCTGTATATAAAGAGAATTGAAAATGAATCTTGATGTGAATGGAAGGGGAGAGAGAGCAGGGGTGGGAGGGAAGTTATGGGGGGGGGGAAGCCATTGTAATCCATAAGCTGTACTTCGGAAATTATATTCATTAAATAAAAGTTAAAAAAAAAAAGGACTGACCTAATTCAAGCATACTTATGATCTGAGAAATCCCTCTCTTCCCGTCTCTGAACAGGGTATGAAAACCCTGGGATGCTACACAAAATTGTTTTTTTCCATCCATGTCCATCTTAAACCTCGACAAATTCTCATGTAGGTGCAGACGTTAGTGTGAGCCACCACCCAAGGCCTGGACAGACTTGAGAGAGGCCAGAGCCGGGCCAAGGCGCCCTCCCGCACGTCATCTCCCCCTGCACGCCGTCTCCCCTCCCAGGAATGAGCTCCTGGGAACAGAGTTCAGATGCAGAGGCCTGAGAAAAAGCACACTTCCTACGAGGTCTTTCCGGAAACCTGTTTCCCTGCTGTGAGGGCGGACATGAGAGCAGACGTCTAAGATTATCTGCAGGACCGAGGGTTTTCCAACTGGTTGATGGCACAGGAACCCAGACACTGCTCTGCAGAGGGGACCCAGGGAGAGAAGGGAGCCTGAGGCTGCCCCACCCCTTCAACCAGTCCACCTGGCTTTGCTCTTTTATAGATCAGACTTCTGCTTAAAATTGTTCTGCATGGGGGGCTGGTGCTGTGACACAGAAGGTTACGCCTCCGCCTGCAGGACCAGCATCGAAATGGGCACCAGTTCAAGTCCTGGGTGCTCCACTTCCCATCCAGCTCCCTACTAATGCACCTGGGAAAGCAGTGGAAGATGGCCCACATACTTGGGCCTCTGTACCCATGTGGGAGACCTGGAAGAAGTTTCTGGCTCCTGGCTTTAGATTAGTGCAGCTTCAGCCATTGTGGCCATTTGGGGAGTGAACCAATGTGTGGAAGATGGACTGATATTTCTCTCTCTCTTTCTGTCTCTCTCTCTCCTCTCCCTCTCTCTCTCTCTCCCCCCTCCTCCCTTCCCCCTTTTCTCTCTCTCTATTTCTGCTTCTCAATAAATAAATAAATCTTTAAGAAACTTGCACTGGGTGGAAGGTTCTATTGTTGACTAAAAGTGATTAAAAATCATGCATTTATTAAGATCCACTTAACACAGTTATGTCCATGACATGTTGCAGTTTGGGATCTTGACCTAGCATAAGAGCTAGCAGGGAAGTCAAGCTCCACCACTTACCAGGTAAGTCCCCACTTGCAAAGGGGACTTAGCTTAGTGCTAAGTGAGCACTATAGGCAAAACAATACTCCAGGCCCCAGTGTGCACTGTGGTTGTGACTATAGAAAGGGACTTAGCAAACACAGATTACAGGAAGTATACACGGTAGGTAACGTAGTTCACTTCTCATTAAAGAACATTATTGGGGCAGGTGTTGCAGTATAGCAGGTGAATCCCCCCTTGGGACACCTGTATCCCACACTGGAGTGTCTGGGAAGAAGTCCCACATCTGCTTCCCATCCAGCTTCCCGCTAATGCACACCCTGGAAGGCAGCAGATCATGGGTCACCTCTGACACAGTTAGAGCTTTACAGCACAAGGAGGAGGAGCAGGGTGGAGAGCGGGTGGGAGGGTGGGAAGAGTCACTATGTTCCTAAAGTTGTATTTTTGAAATGCATTAAGTTTGCATACCTTAAATAAGAGGTTTCTGGGGGAGGGGGAAGGAGAAAGAAAGAAAAAGCCTAGGAACCACAGTTCTAAAAGAAAATAATAAAGCAAAAATTGAAATTTTGCAAAGTTTGTCTCCACTGTGAAGAGGTGAATAGCATCCCAATACTCACACTTGTCTAATGAGACCAGTGAGAATTAAGGGATTGTTGATATTACACAATGAAACATGTCTACATTTGGAAGATCTATGGCACTCAGGAAATCAACATTCTCCAAAATGATCAATGTACAATGTTACAAAATCCTGCCCAGGAAAAGATCCACCAGAGTGAGAAACAGACCCATGGGCTCCAATGTATCAACGGAGAAAAATTCATTCACAAGGTTCCTTTTTGCAAACAGCCTTCAAAAAAAACCAAAAAGTCAGCACTTGCAGATACAAGGACATGCACACGTACCTAGAGAGACTATTAACATGCCCTCTCGTTTATAGCCACACACCCCTGCGAGACCGGATGCTGCTCTTAACCCAGACAGACATCCCCAGGAGAGCCAGCAGACTCCCACCAGGCCAGATGTTAAAGAGATTTGCAAACACATAAAACCCAGGGCTGGTCTTTTCACATTGGGGGGGGGGGGGCGGGCAGAGGGCAGGGAGCCGGAAATGCATGTACCAATACATGTAAAAATGTTCTCCATTTTCCCTCTAATATGGGGAATACTGATAGACACAAATGGAAACCTTTTGGGGCCCACAGCAGCTTTTTTTTTTGACAGGCAGAGTGGACAGTGAGAGAGAGACAGAGAGGAAGGTCTTCCTTGTCCGTTGGTTCACCCTCCAATGGCTGCCATGGCCGGTGCGCTGCGGCTTGCGCACCGCGCTAATCCGAAGCCAGGAACCAGGTGCTTCCTCCGGGTCTCCCATGGGGTGCAGGGCCCAAGCACTTGGGCCATCCTCCACTGCACTCCCGGGCCACAGCAGAGAGCTGGACAGGAAGAGGAGCAACCGGGACAGAATCTGGCGTCCCAAATGGGACTAGAACCCGGTGTGCCAGAGCCGCAGGCGGAGGATTAGCCTATTGAGCCGTGGTGCCGGCCCACAGCAGCTTTTAAGAGCTAAGGAGCAGGGCCAGTACTGTGGCGTAGCAGGTAAAGCTGCAGCCTGCAGTGCTGGAATCCGCTATGGGTGCTGATTCGAGTCCTGGCTGTTCCACTTCCGATCCAGCTCTCTGCTGTGGCCTGGGAAAGCAGTAGAAGATGGCCCAAGTCCTTGGGCCCCTGTACCCAAGTGGGAGACCCAAAAGAAGCTCTTGGCTCCTGGCTTTAAATTGGCTCAGCTCCAGCTGTTGTAGCCATTTGGGGAGTGAACTAGTGCATGGAAGATATCTCTCTTTCTCTCTGCCTCCACCTCTCTGTAAATCTGCCTTTCAAATAAATAAATAAATCTTTAAAAAAAAAAAAAAAAAAGAGCTCAGGAGCTTTGAGACTCACAAGGGATGAGAGCTTCCAGACTGCCCTGCACTGGACTGAGCCAAGCGGCACATGCCCAGCCCCGACACTCCGCCATAGTGCTTGGCACTGGGCGTGGGGGGGGGGGCAGAGTACCAACTGCAGCTGATGAGAGGGACCCAAGTCTCGGCCCTATGGGGAGAGAAATGCACTCGCTCTCTCTACTCTGTAATCCCTCCCCCTCCCCCTCTCCTGCTCCCCCTCTCCTGCTCCCCCTACCTCCTTCTGTCTGTCCATTCTCCTCCCTCGGCTGTGGAGGAGAGGCTGATCTGGAGCCACGGCCAGGATCCCCCCAGCCCAAGCAAGAGACTGAGAAGGAAGCAAATCCCTGAGAACCGGTGCCCAAAGGCCCTGGCTGACGGGACCGGAGTCTCGCTCTGAAAGGACGTTTTACACTCTGCACTGCCGAGGAGGAGGCATCAGGGACGCGCTGTAGCCCAGGAGGGCACCCAGGCTGTCTTTGCCCAGATACCTGCTGTCCTGAAATGTGGCTGGCTGGGACAGGGTTCCACGCCTGCCCATCAGCCACACAGACGGGGCCATCCTCGCTGGTCTCTGCCGCCTTC